AACCTTCCAAACAGTATGTGCGCGTAATGTAGAAATTTTTAGGAGCCACTGCACGCCATGCCTTCTCAGGCTTAGATGTGGTTTTCCAATGCACAACTGTATATTGCAATCCCAGGGTTATATAAAACGGTATTTGACGTCAACCCCACTCATGTTTTAAGCCTGAAGAAATGGGCCAGGGATGGTCTTGGCACATGTTCGCTAGCGCTTTGCTAGTACAAAGCTAGCGCCACGCTACAGCAAATATATACACAATTTATATACACAATTTTCGGAAATATCTGTAACAAGGACTGGGGATCCTAAACAACATATTATCATATTATCTCAATATCATGCAAATTCCACAATCAATACCAAGCCAAATATACAAAACAACTACGTCCTAGGAATACTAAAGGGCCCGCTACATAACGAATACTAAAATCCTATTGTCGACAATTAATTTCGCAACTTCATTTAAATTTCCTTTCTAGGAATTTTTAACCGGATCCCATATATTATTATTATAAATATAAAAATATTAATATATTTATTATAATATAATTCATTTCAATAAGATTTATTTTAATTATATGTAAAGATACAAAAAAAAAGAAAATTTATATTGGTATCATTAAAAAAAATATTTTTCAAAAATAAAAATAATTTGTCCCATGAAAATTTCACTAATAATAATAATAGGAAAATAAATTCGGCGGAGAGGCAATCGACATGGCAAGAATTCAAGTGGAGAATGTTCGAAAACATGCCAGGCAAGGATGTGAAAGCAGCTAGTGAAACAAACATTTTTATAGGGACTTGCCTTCCGCTTCTACGAATTCCCTTCTCTGCGGAACACTCCATGGATATCAAGAAGAACACTTTCTGAGGAGCACGTGCCATTGCGAGCCCAAATCTATACAATTCATAGAAATCAACGTCCAAAATGACATAGAGTAATCATCGCTAATTTGGGAAGGTCCCATCGCTTACCTAGTATTTTGAACAATTTCCATAAATTTCCACAAGCCAATGTCCGTTCCTTACATGTTTAGTATTGCCGGATTTTTGCGGTTGCTCATATTAGTATTTTTGAATCGGCACCAAAGTTCTGCTTGATTCCTTGTTCGGCGTTATCAATTCTTCTAAGAGGATGATATGTTTGAGGCGGCGCATGGTGGATTATTTATATGATATCAATTTTAGCAATTTCTTTTTGTTCGGCAGGGCAAACAAGTCTTCCTGATTCCAGACATCTTTCTAAGCAAAAATGGGTGAAACACTTATCGCTCGCATACCAGGTATTCTCCTGAACGTCTCTGCACGTCATGCGAAACGACGACATCTCGATCACTTCTAACGCTCATGCGGTGTAGGTTGGAGCTCACGGCCCTCCCAACATTGGCCTTGCAGGGAGACTTGAGAGGCGTGAGATGTTTTGCAATAAAAAGTTGGTGCATTTCAGCCCATATCATCAGTGCAGGATCAGCTTCCTGCATGCTACAGTGTAAATCACGAAAGTCCAGCCTTGTTTCCTCACTCTTCTTCTGACTGCGGTTGCAGAAGCAACAAACCAGCGCAACGGTGATCACAAGCACAGCAACAGCACCACAAATCACATAGACTGCACCTTAGGCATTCATGCACCAGGCATGTCCATGAATTTCAAAATCACCAATCCCTTCACCCTAATTAATATTAAGCATCCCCAGAAACCAGGGTATAGGACGGGATTTAATGGGATTTACACATATCTTGGGAACATTTTTTTGGGGGAATGGGATAAGTTGCCATGCTAAGAGTAGACCTTCCACGGATAGCAGCATTGAGTACACCCATGTGATCCAAGATATTGCTCAAATATCACATTTTCCAGGCTCAACTCCTGCAGATTGATGGCTTCCGATGGGGATTGCTTTGTATTTGTGGTAGTGAGAGCAGTTTCAAGTCAATTTGAGAGTCTATGGGCTTTCCGGATACATGTTCCGTTTTTGCTGCACCAATGTGTGAGAGGACATTCATCATAAATGTGCACTCGTGAACTCATTAGTTGTGAGTACATGAATGTTTTGAAGAGAGAAACAATTACTTCCGGGTTGCTATCTTCTTTTGATTCCTATCCTGCCAAAGAATTTATTCACTTTATTTCAGTTTCATACCATCAACCCCCAGAGAATCCATCCCCAAAAAGCTAGAATTTCATAGAATTTCACCCCAAATACATCCAAATGGTAGTTTGGCTAGAGGCTAGAGGATCACCAGGGCGACCAAGTGACTTTGATTTCCAGCCATGTTAAAGAAGCCTTCTTGATAATACACCTCGCCCTGAAGCGGCTGGCATTGCTGCTCACTCTTGCCCGTGCCAACGCCCACCACGTGTCCAAACATCAAAAAACACTGTGTTTTGTGGGACAAAATGCACATGCCCAGGATCATGGCTTTCATCTTGCAACGCACAGCTTAGCAACCTGTGCGTTGAATGTTACATCATCATCATCATCGTCGTCATCATCATCATCATCATCATTCCATTGAATATAAAGTTTAACGGGGGTGAGGATTTAATGATTCCCTAAAACCTCTGTTGAAACATCTTTCAGATTCCCTTGAACATAAAGTTCAACGGGGGTGGGGATTTAATGAGTCCCTAGAAACTCTTTTGAACCCTCTTGAAGAATCCTTTGAATATAAAGTTTAACGGGGGAGGGGATTTATTTATTTATCATTGGGGAACCAAAGTGGACCCTAATAATAAATTTAAACCCTCAATAAAAAAATATTGTTTTCGATTTCAAAATCAATCAAATTTTCTTTTGAACACAATTGAAATATTGCCAGAAATTAGATTTCGAACCGGACCCTAATAATAAATTTAAACCCTTAAAAAACAAAAAGAACTATTTTTTTCGATTTCAAAATCAAATAATTTTCCTTTATAACCCAATTAAAATGTTGCCAAAAATTGGATTTCGAAGCTTCCCCCAATACTAAATTAAACACCCTAATATAAAAAACTAAAATTTTCGGACGGATCCTAATAAAAAACTCCCAGGGGTTGACTAGTTTTTATTTTTAGGGGGTGAAACCCACAAATAAGTAAGTAGCTTTATTTTTAAATTGTTTTAGTGGACCTAGTTTTTATTATTCGGGGGGGTTCGTAATAGGGGGAAGGAATTATGAAGTCTAACGGGGGTGGGGATTTTTCCTGACTCCCTAGAAACTCTGTTGAAAATTCCCTTCAACACGCCAGTCAAGGGGGGGGTTTGCGCGTAACTTTAAACATGGCGGATCGGAAGACATGCGCAACGAAGCACTCTTGACTCAATTCATGTCTGATTCATGAAATCCTGTTGAATATGAAGAAATCGAGAACATCATTCCTAGGAAAAATATGTGTTGCCCTATATATTTCCATATTATAATATATCATTTCCATATATTCCCCCTATGATTCAACGGGAGTCCAAAGGGGCTCCCCTATGATCCGACCAAGGTGCTCTCTCTTCGGTGGTTGGTGGCTCAGTGGATCTGATGCCACAGCTGGTCTTGCTGGTGCAACCGTACATCTTCGCCAGTTGAAGGACATCATTTTTGGTCATCATGTTTCGTTGGCCAATGACATATAAATGATATTCATCCGGATTGCTGGTGTAGAGGTGATAGCCGGCATCTTTCACCACAATGGTTTCTTTGCCCGTGGCACTAAAGGCAAACTTTCCAAAGTGCATGATTGACATAATATCATAGTCAAGGCTGGTGTCGGCATGTGGATTCTTGGTAAACTGCGAAAATTCCGAACTCTTCACATTGGCCCACTGGATCTCCACGAAGCTCCCGCGATCTGGTCGGGTGAGCTCAGGAGCCATGCCCATGCTGTGAAGCATCTCGTGAATCGCAGTGCCACAATCGTTGCAACCCGGGACTTGCAGGTTCAGCTTCTGATTCCCTGCCGAGATCACAAGATTTGACGATTAAGTCATGGGGGACATTGACACGTCACTGCCAGTGAATTTTGGGAATGTGAAGTTTGCTGGAAGATATTTGGAAAGAACCATCGATCAACGTGAAAAGAGGCTGGATACCTATGGATTTTAAACACAGTTTGAAATGTCTTTGAAATCCGGAGAAGGTCTATAGGTCTAGAAACCGATGCTGATGCCATCGCGTCTGCCACCGGACCACCGACAGCAAAACCTTCCCAAACTACAGCACCTGTCAAACCCATCATTGTCATCAGCTCAGAAGTTTGCCTGAGCTTTCTGGGTTCGGTCATATATGATGAAATATGTTGAAATATGTTGAAATATCAACGCAATCAGCTTTCTCAGACATAGAGTCTTCAATCTGGAGACCTCTCGGAGTGAAACTACGCCAAAACTCCCTTTCATGATACCCTGGGGTAAACGAACATAGATGTGGAAAATCCACTATTCGTAGATCGTTTTCCTACCGAAACCATTGGTTTTCCACTTCTTTTTGTAAATTGTAAACGTTTACCCCGGGGTAAATGAGCTGAAACAGAATCTTCGGCCGCCAAGCAGCATGCCAATGTTTGACCAACAGCCGGAATCCCCTGGGCAGGGCTATGATTTGGTCATGCTACGTCATGTTGACTGAGGATTTATGAAACCCTGAGGATCCTGGGGGCTATGGATGGAATCTATGGATAAATCACTGGCAAGAGGCTGGACTGAATGAAAATGGCGGGATGAGTGTTGCAAGCACCACGACCTTTGTAGCCAACATTTGTAAAGTGAATGCCCGGGAGTTCTTCTCGAATCTTTCCCTCAGAGCATCGACGAGCCCAGGGTTTGTCTGTTCAGCATATTTTCATATCCAAGTTCAAGGCAATCCACATTCAATGACATTGAAGAAAAAGGCTTTGTGAACCTTTCAGAAACGTGGCTGAACTTTGCAAATCGAGGATCTATAGCGCAGTCCACGGCATTTTTTGCACTGAGAGATATGTACTTGTCATAGCAGTACTTCACCTCCAGGCTTTTCGTAACAAGCTGCTTTTCGAAGGCTGAAAGCACCCGAAAAACAGGACGGTGAATGCAGCCTACAAAACATGGTTTGTGGTTTTAAGCCTCATACATGTCATCGGAGATCATCCCAGGTTTGGGTTGAAAAAACTTTAAAATCACCAGAAACATATCACGTTCACTTGGCTACTCATCGAAACTCATGTCAAGACCCTCTTCCAATTAGAAGGTTTATCAGCCGTCGGCCGAGCAAGGGCTTCCTTACTATCGATTAGGGTCAAGTGGACGATGTCATTCTAAGGTAAACAAACATATTTCACTGCGCAGTATGGAAGTCCAATCGAAAGCACTAATTACTGTTACACTGTAATTCATGATGTTTGAATAGTTCATAATTCACAATTATCCATAATTATGGACCATATTATGGACCATAATTTATAATCAATAGTTGATATTCCAAGTTTTTGATGGTTTTAATAGGTTGATCTATTTATAATCAATTGCTATCAATTCATACGATATATATAATTTGCTCTACACACCATTTCTCCTCTGAACATCGCGTTCTGTGCGACACCTCGGCGTTGGTCCACGGCTCGCCAGCACTGTGCAGACCTCCTGGAGAGGTCTCACTGGCAGTTTCCAATTCTTACAATTGATTCAGAATGATCAGAATGATTGAGATTCAAAAACAGTGAAGCAATTATACATATATAATCATATATAATCATATATAATCATATATAATCATACTGTTTCTGAATCTTTCTAGCTCCGGGTGTCAGCCGCAGACTTGCCATGTGCAAAAAACTTCTTGATATCTCAAGGTGCGGTATCTCCTCCATCAACAGCACCATGTCTTTGAACAAGTTTAAACATAGGATGCTAAATCAGGTCATAACATGTCATAACCCCCACCTGAGTCAAGTGCACAAAGACCTCGCCGCTACTGGCTCACCTCTATATCCTGGATTTTGTGAGGGAAAACCATGGAAAACCATGGAAAAGCCCATCTCTTTCACACAGCTCCTGTTCCTGAGGCAGACTTTGAGTCAGTGTCAGTGTCCGGAGTATGCATCTCGTCAGGACGAGGTGGTGGACCCTTGATGCCCTCCATGTGACCCAAGAGCCAATTCAAATCATCTCGTGTTAGGACCTGATGACCAGACGAAGTCGCTTTTCCAATACTCTCACTGTCCATGTCTGCGATAGCGGCATTGAGGACCACCACAAGGTTGTTATATTTCTCCTCACGATTTCACGAGATATCACGAGATATCACAAGATGTCTGGGGGGTTGCTATTGATCAATTGTATCCCCAATCCCATCCCAGCTCCTGAGCCAAATAGCCATCCCGTGCAGCGTATTCCATGTGTTTGGCGACGCCAATCACCACTTTGTCTTTGCTCCTGGAGCGATGCCACATGATGATGATATCCTGTGTCACTTGATGCCATAATGATATCAAGTTGTGCTGATATGTGCTGATATGTGCTGATAAAACTCAATGAGAACAACCCATGACACAAACGACCCGGCACCCGGCAAACACATTGACACATTGAGTTGGACCTCTTTGCCACGTTGCCAGCCATCGAGGCCACCATCCGATGGATGCGCTTGTTCCTTTGCTCCTCTGTCTCCTGCGGCAGTGCGTTGTCGGCACGTCCATCACAGGCCATGGTCATTTCACATGGAACGTATTGGAACATCATGGAACACATATGCAATCTGAATCAGTCTTAAAGTTTCCAATATCCCAACAAATCTCCCAACAATTCCCAACATGTCCCAACATAATTTCCTTGAGAATGGGATCGACGCAAAACCCAGCACCAAGGCACCGTCACACGGTCGTACTTGGGCAGTTGGCACTGCATTGCTCCAGAGATACTGCTGACCTGCGCAACTGTGCTTGGGATTCTGGGATGATAAGGGAACAACTAGAGGAAACCATAGGACACCCCATGATAGAAGAAACATCAAGCAGCTCAAATCCAACATGGAGGAAAAAAACCTTACATTGATGGGAAGTTTGCGAGCTAAGTTGGCTAAGTATGGCGAAGTGCTCAAAAAAAAAGGTAACTTCCTGCACTTCAAGCGTCTACTTCACAGGATGAAAGCTTGAAACACCACAAATTGAAAGGTCATAGAATGTCATAAAGATATATAAAGATCCACTTTGGGTTTCTCTATGATTCCCGTTAAGACAAGGACAACCTGAGTCTCCGGAAGTGATACTGTCGATGAATGACAGTGTACTTGCATCTTGGGATTAGTTGTAGCTTAGATTGTTCTCAACTAGCAATGACCAACAACGAAACATGCAATGGGGCTGACCACGAGGTAGTCCGATCACAAAAAAACACAGTGATTGAAACGGTTTCCCACCTCTCTAAACATGATAAGAGGATCCAATTCTGCTTTGATAAAATTTTGCCACACAAACCATGGACAAGTAAACCACGGACAAGTGCCTACAATCCATTTTGCGATCCTTCTTGGTTTTCTTTCGAAGTTTTTGAAAGCTACACATCCCCAACCCAGAGATACCATCGGCTGATCCCAGGCCTCTGATGAAAGTTTTGCCTCTTTGCCCAGCAACCAGCATTCTGCACCAGGGTTGTCTTGAAAATAGGAAAGCAATGGAAAACCAGACTCAAAACTCAAAACAGCCAGAAACATCTCGGAGAATGTGGATGAAATGGACCCCCATAATTTGAAGTCCAGCTGGGATTATGAAGGCTGGACCAGGCGTCATCGCTTCACGCTACTTCTGCTCCAGAGAATGGTGGCTTGGATGGATTCGGCGCTGGGTATGGCGGGCCGAATCTTGGTTCGTGAAAGTTTCAACTCTATGAGCCGATCCAACAGCCTTTTGATCATGAGGTAGGCTTCTGCAGCTATTGAGGGTGAAAATGCTGTGAACATCGTCAGAATCCCCATGCCAAGAACACGGGTTCCAAGCTGCAACATGGGAACATGACGCCTTGTGTCTCATAGTCATAGGTGAAATGAGCACATTGATCATGATCATGACAGGACCTGAAGGCTGACTGAACTGAGCATGTTATATTTTATGTTATTTATAGTGATATAAGATACTTCTCAATCAAATTGAGGCTCTGGCGCTTGGCAATCTTTAAAACTCTTGATGTTGGTACCTGCCAAGTGACTTGAAGTCACCCTGGGTGTCACCCACTGTCACCGCGGAGGAACGGATCAAGAGACCCAAATAGGCTTCAGCCAGATTTCCCATCCAACGATATCCAAGGGAGTGGATAAGCATGTCCTTTTTACAGGTTGCCATAAAGGAAATTCATGGAAATTCATGGAAATTCCTACTTCATACAGCCTCTTGAAACTGAAAACCCAACGGTTTTGCCATTCCTGGGGACATTTTGGGTGCTGAATTTCACCTGAGGTTAGGACTCGATGGTTCTCCTCGTCCTTCGTATCCCCAACCCACTTCACAATCAGGGCTGGCCAAAGCCAACGTGACTCCAAACAAGACGCGTAGGGGAAGCATTGTGACTTGATCAGCAAATGCCTGCAGTTTTGAGCATGTCATTTTATCATATGTACAGTAATATAAACAATATAACATCATGATGCAACTGCTCATCGTTTCTTATCCTGTCTCTAGGGGGGTAGGCCCAAAAGAAAACAGAATAGATTAAGACATATACTAAGGCCATGTCACACAGACATGAAAGATCGTTGTTTCCATGTCTGCACGTGCCAGGGCAGCCTTTAAGAAGTCCTTGCTTTCGAAGGGGATCCCTTTTGGTGCGTTGAATGTTGTGAATGCCATCGTTCAACTGTAAAGGACCAAGTCAACGCGCAAAACTAACATAATCACCACAAACAAAGGGAGGAAACCATGATTTTCGGTGCCTTTGACACCTTTGTTCAAAATTTAAAGTCACTTTTGATTCAATTCCTTATTATAGTATCATTATCATCATTATCAACCCCAAAGAGAAGACTTGGTCAGACTTCAAAATCGCTTGCGACTTCGGGCCACCAGACTTCAGGAAATGGCGTCTCTTTTCGTCGGAGTGCCCAATTCCCATTTACGACGGGCATACGACGGGTGACACAGGTGAGACTACGGCCAAGATAATGCCTGAACGCAAAGTTGCAAAGTTACTCAAAGTTGCAAGTCCATTTTGTATTGACTATCCCATTCCTATCAATTCTGGCTATCCAAGCAAAATTGATATATGTTTGTTTTTTTTCCCCGGGAAATGCAGGTCATGTGCACATTCTTGACATGGTGCCATCCGTACTCTCGTTGCCCCAAAGCTCGGTCCAAGCTGACCAAGGACTTGGATCGCTCACGTCTTTGCAGCCTCACCGGGTTTCGATGCCAGTGGCCAGTTGGGGCAACCCGCAAAATTACAAGAGTCACCTCTAAAAAAGTGCAAAGGTGAGATTGCAAAAAGCAAACTAACCCATTGCAGGTGCGAAAAATACATAGTTTCCTTATATGTTTTTGTTGTACAAACCAAAATGGGCCGAATTCAGAGCGCTGTTTCGTTTTCCGCATTGGATCAACATGGCTTTCCGGGCCTTGTCCAAGAGTGTGGAGCTCTTTGCTGTGGCTGTCTGCAAGGGCACCTGGAGATCGACTTTGAATCCCAAGGATTCATGGATCGTGGCTTGTCCGAAGCTGAAATCTGAAATCTGAAGATATCTGAAGATCCTCAACGATCTTTTTCCATCTTTTTCCGATGTTTTGTGCATGTTTGTGCATGTAACATCATGTAACCGTTGCAACCTTCACCTTGATGCATTTCCTCTAGCCGATGGAACCTTCAGCGGGGCATCCACCACGTCGGTCGACGCACGCACTCGCTGGGCCAGCATGTGCAAGGAGTGGTCCCTGACATCAGTTGCATCATGTTGCATCTCAAGGGTTTCAGCAGGAAAGCTGATGCTGATGTTAATCTTGAGAAATCTTTGTGCAAACTTTCTGTTTCTAGACCCAGCGTTGGGACATCTCAAGAGATGTCAAGAGCAGAACTAACAGTCACTAACACTCTTGTCTGAACCCAGAGATTCTCCAAGTTGGTCCCAAAAAAATAAAACTATCGGTATTGCATCAATTTGCATCAAATTATCACATTGCAATACATATCAAAGCACAAGTTCCCCTCTCAATCCTTGCGACCTCATTATGCAGTCGTTTCCACTGCCGAAGAGACGTGTGAACGACGGCATAGTCTCAAACCTTTGCCGCAGCAAACCGTTGAACTGCGTGAGATGCGAGTGTTTGTTGCACCTGCAGTTGAATCAACATACAACATATAACATCATATAACTACAAATGGTTGAAATGTGCACATCGTGTCTGCCAAACAGCATGCACATACAAAGTCACACACACACATATCATACGCAATCTCAGGAAATCCAGAGATACCAAGAATCAAACCCATTTTACGGGTGAACCATCAACTTTCTTTCTTTTTTCTGGCCATCTTTATGGTGGACATCACTTTTTTGTGGGCCCATGTTCGGAGCCATATCGTGTCGGGTTTTCTTGGCATCCGCACGGAATGGCTGCCATGGAACTGTCTGGCAACAGCACCAGCTGCTTGGGATTTGGGATGGCTGGTAGTTCAGCCTGGATCCCCGCTGGATGGTGGAACATCCCTGGCTGAAATGGATGATGTGGAGGTACCCCCCATTTTAGGAAATCTCTATATAATATACTATACCATACTATACCATACTATACCAATAAATTGTGGATGTAATATGAGCTGTCTGGTAGGACAGTCATTGCGAAATATCACATGCAATCTCTCCCCTTTATATTTTTTGTGAAACAACTTTTACATAAATCTTGCACATGTCCAGCTAACTCAGCTAGCCAAGTTCATACTCAGCACTTCTGTGACGGCAACCAATCGTCACACGAGGTCCTTCTAAGTCTGAGGTTCCGAACGTTCGCACTGCAGGGCCAAAAGCTTGCCTGGTGACAGGGTGACAGGGTGGCGCAGGACCTTAGGCTATGGGTCTGGTGGGTCATGGAAGTGGCTTTGTCTAAAAGTATCTAAAAATAAGGTATACTGTGGTATACTATAGCAAAATTTATGGCAATCAAAGGAAACATGATGAATGATGAGAAACATTGAAAGCCTATTGGATTCCCTAAAGGTACCTCCAATTTCCCCTCATTTTGGGGAAACCTCCCTAGGCGGTTTTTCATCTCCCGTACCTCCAAGCGTCTGGAGAGCGGGTCCATCAAGTGGACTTCCACTTCTTGCACCGTCTGTTCCAAATTGGCCTGCAACCTCACAGATGGCTAGATATATCCAGGGGAAGCTTCATCCAATTCCACTCAGAATGATGGGTGAATTGATAGCTCTCATCGAATGGATCAAATTTGGCACCAAGTGGGATAATTAAGTGATATTAAGGGATATTAAGGGAATCAATCATTGAGTTCCCAACTGCGGATCTGGCTCTGGTTGTGCCAGGAGCTGTTTTTCAATCTGACCTGGGCAATTTTCAGGAACATCTGCCGCCAAAGGAAGGATGCCTTGATCCTCTTGATCTGGGAACCACCACACATCGCAAGAATGCTGGTTGGCGGCTTCGGATGACCCCAAGAATATCTTTTAGTTTATAATGTTTTCGGATGACCCCAAGTGATGATCTCTTTTGGGATAGGTTGAAACCGCCAAATTCTCTCTATAGGGGTGGAGAATTATTTGGGGATTTTTGTTCGGATTCCTGTGCCCTTATATTTGCAGCATTTAGAAACTATAATCTTGGTTTTCACGTGGTATTTGCACGATTTTGCAGTTCTTATGCTTGTTGGGTAGGGGGTTGGAGGGGTTAGGGAGTTGGGGGTTTGAAGGTGTTGAAAGTGTTAAATGATGTTAAATGTCTTGAAAGTGTTGAAGGTGTTGTTGTTGTTGTTGCTGCTGCTGCTGCTGTTGGTGTTGTTCTTCTTGTTCTTCTTCTTCTTTTTTTGTTTTCTTCTTCTTCTTCTTCTTGTTCTTCTTGTCATTGTTGTTGTCGTTGTTGTCGTTGTTGTTGTCGTCATTTATTGGCTTAGGTGTGGGGGGGTGGGGGAGGGTAAGGGGTTTGAAGGTTATAGCTGATGCTGATGCTGATGCTGTTGCTGATGCTGTTGTTGTTGCTGCTGCTGCTGTGGTTGTGGTTTATGTTGTTATCGTGAAGAGAAGAGAAGAGACGAGAAGAGAAGAGAAAAGAAGAGAAGACAAGAGAAGAGAAGAGAAGGAAAGGGAAGGGAAGAGCAAGAGCAAGAAACTCAGGCAGTCTCATCCAGAGACTACACAGGGGAAGAGAGACGAGCACATCGCATGATAGCACCGAAGCAGAAAGGAGAGAAGCATCCAAGCGCAGGCGAAGAACAGGAAAGAAACAAAGAGGCCAACAACATTAAAGATGTATAAGGGTTAAAGAATCAGGAGGGTCAAAACATGGTACATAATGCATGATCATCCATCTCATAATGGCAATCCTTGTCATGGGTAAACAAATCCCCATTAATGGATTCATGACAAATTGCTTTTATGGGAAAGTAACCCATGTTTTTAACCATGTTTTTACCATGGCACATCAAACACAAAAAAGTAGAGAAATAACAAAGACCAAAGCAAAACAGAAAGACCCAGAGAAGAAGAAAAGCAGGAAACGAAAGCAGACAAGCCGAGAAGCAAAGAAGCAGCAAAAAGCAAACAAGCAAAAAGAAAAGAACAGCGAAAAAACGGAGAAGCAGGGAAGCAAAGAAGCAGCAAAAAGCAGAAGAAGCAGAGAAGCAACAAAGCAGAGAAGCAAAAAAAACAGAAAAGCAAACAAGCAGAGAAGCAAAGAAAAATAATTGCAGAAAAAATAAAGCGAAAACAAATCCCTAAAAGGCACGCAAAAGCAGAAAGCAATGGAAGGTGTAACAAAAAGGACGAAACAAAATCCCCAAACTCACCTGAAAAACAACAAAAAATCCCTTCCCATTATTTTGAGTGGCAAAGCAGCAAAGCCACAACTTCTTTTGCCCAAACTGATTGATACGGAACCGTTGTAAAACCACTGAAATAGTGGTAAGCCTGTGAATTCTAGATATTCAGTCTTGTTTGTTGTGGACTGATGCCAGCTCAATGCTCAACATGATCTCTTTCAGATGTGTCCCAAGGATATTAATCAACCATCGTGCCAACCCGGGTGAAAACCTGCGTTGCCACAATCCTCCTTGGTGCATCACTTCTGGTGACCAGGATGCGGCTGATAGCTGCATGAACCTAGCGCCAAATGCACAAACGTGGATCTTGGATCTTGGATGCTGTTTAACAAAAATGGCCATAGAAAGCATCTGAAAAGGCAGGCCAACTCTGCCAATTCTGACATACACCTCGAGCCAGAAACTCCAGGCCTGCTCCAAACTTGCTTGTTTCGATGCAAGTCACTGTATCAATGGGTCAAAGGCCAAACACTGATTGACAGTCATTGGAAAACATCTTTGCTGCCCATCAATGCCTTCCCCAACAATGCCTTCCCCAATAACCTCCCCGTGCCACGTCCATGGCCTCAGAAAGAGCCACGGTATGTCTCGCCACCAGAGGAGCCAAGCGCGCCACGCGTTCGGCGCGATCGGTGACCGTCTCGGGCGGCGTGCAAACGGCCTGACAAAAGGACGTGCCAAACTCTTCTTTTGGTATAGAGTTTTGATAAATATCGTGGTTAAGTGGGGTATCGGTATCTACTGAACATATCTGAAAATGTGATTGTGAGATATCTGGTGATTTTTTGTTGTGTTTGCTTCATGTCCTTCAGACATTTTAAGGATCTTTAGGGTATAGCTGGTGCCTTGGGGATAGCATCCCTGCGTGCTGTCAAGCGGCGCCCATGTAGATGAAGCTGCCCCGAAATTGCAACGAAACCTGAGTCGACTGCAGAAACCCTTGGTGGCTCGTGGACTGCGGTGGATGAACATGTTGGCTCCCAAGCTTCTCATGCCACCTGAGGGATCTATTCTGGACGACTTGTGAAACCTTGCTTCTTTGAAGCCAAAGAAAACACCTGAGGAGTAGTATTTTTTATCTTTGTCTTTCGATGACCAGCAACATACAAGCTACGCAACTGTCTACGCCGAGCCTACGGCATTGCATGAGGTAGCCTACGCGGGTATGGTTTTTAAGGTGTATCTACGCGAGGCTACGTGGTGTCGGCTTTGCCGCGGCCACGCCTTCTGTTTGTTTCCAGTTGTGGCGCGAGGATTTGGAACCACACACAACTAACCAAAGCAAAAATGAATGAGTTTTAACTCTTGCCAATGCGTGTCTACACAAAGCCTACGCGGTGTAGGCCAACACGAGCCTACGCCAATGCCTACGCAACCTACGCCGTCTGCATAGCCTACGCCTGGGGCATAATATGTCTTGTGGAGTTCCCACTCTATCTATTTTTCTGGATCCTGAAAAAAACGCTACTCGAAACTCGAAACTCGAAACTCTTTCATTGAGTATGACATATTGGCAATATTGGATATATCGGCAAGGATTGAGCAAACGATCCATAAGCGTTCGGCCACAAGAGTCGATGCAGGCAAGTGAGAAAGCAGGATGTCTTCGATGGCAGGCAACTTGTCCTGGTGCAGCAGTTGAAAGGTTGGCCTTGTAAGGGAAGTCCAAAAGAATCCCAAAGTCAAAAAGAGCCCCTCTCATATCTCTTCCATTTGGATCACGGTACAACCCAAGTTTCAGGCTTCAAAACATGATTTCATTGCGTTTTTGTAATAGAAAGTCAGCAGGATCAGAACGTCGCCAAGCCTGAAGCGTTGCTCATTTGCAACCCAAAAACATCTTTGTGGTGTAAACAGTCCCAGAATCCCATAGTTGATCAATCTTGATTCTCAGTTTCCACCATTTTCCCCTGTAAAATTGCCAGTGTTTTTTTGGTTTTTGCCAAAGATCCACCTAACTCACCGTGCCCAGGACCTTCCCCCACCCTGTCCAGCTGAAGGCGTTGGAAAAACGTGGATTCCGTCTCCAGGCGTTGCTTCAGAGCCTGCAATGGGCAGGTGATGTTTGGTGGCAAAAAACCATGAAGGATGTTGGAGTTTCCACCCAGTGGATCATTCTGATACCACGGCAACCCATATTTTCATAATATCCACTATATATAAATGATAATTATGGTCCATAGCCCATTTTTTGATAAATGATATATAACACAGCAACCCATATTTTCCATATATAACCCATTATAATATATATAATTATATGTTTTTTCTATGTCATCCAGGCATCCATGGTCCAAACCGCCCTTAAATGTCTCTGGACCTTGTAGGTGCTGAGCTCAGTGGGGAAGGGCCAACGCCTTTCCAGGTTCCTCAACCTGAGTCCATCGGTCACTGGTTTATTGATGTGAAAATTGTGGATGTAAAATTTGTGGTGAAACCAGATGTTTCCGAATTATTGGAACATATTTTTTAAGCCTATCATATCTATCATCAGTTGGATTAATTGGACAGCATAGATTCCATTAAACTATGGATGGATTTAAATCATTGGAGTTCATATTTCCATCAACCAGTTGGACCCCCCCTGTCCTAGCTTCAGGCTGGGGTCCAACGGTAGATAGGACAATTGATGATTACCAACAGAATTTGGCGTACCATATGGCAGTGTGTCAAAACCAATAGTACCCCTGGTGAACATCAAAATAGCTGGGATTTATGGATGTGAATAACCCACTAAAAATGGTATTAATAGGTATTGATCCATACCCATATTTTCTCACGAAAACAGCATTTGAAGGCGACATCCCTTCCTTTTGTTTGCTTCAGTTTTTTTTGCAGCTTGGTGCCACCGAGACACAAATGCAGCTGGACCCGTTCGTCGTGGTCTTCGGGCAGTTTCTCCTAGAGTCGTGTTGCGGATCATCGGGCGATGGCGGCCATGGTATGGGTGTGGGGATATGGGCGATATTGGGCACCTCAACTTCAAACATCGAAGTGTTACATCTTACAAACCTGCTGGCTAAACATCTATCCTGAACAAGTGAAGCAGTGAAGCATTCAAGTCTACTTGAGTACCAAAAGCAAATAGACAATAGGGTGTTCAGTGAAGTTCAAGGCCAGCCAGTTTGCAGATTTGTAATCTTTTCTGGGCCCTTCCCAATCCCTTTGCCAGCGCCTTGAAGACCTTTTCCTCTCTGATGCACACCTCGCGCAAGCTGTGTGAATGAAACCTGGTAATTCCTATCAGCTCCTGGAAGATATCATCAATTCTGGACTCCCTTCATGGGAGGGCTTGGTCAAAACAAGAACAACATAATCAACATAAGCATGGAAGTGAAATCATAGGGTCTCAAATCAGATCAATCTACAGTATATAAATATACTAAGTATATTATGTATATATATATAAACAGTCCTCAAGTGACTCGGATGGGTCCCCTCCCAGCCTCAGTGCTCTGGAGCCAACAGAGGAACCTGGGTCAGCCGGCGATGGAACAACCAGAAAATCTGAGGCAACACGTGGGGTATCACCAACGCAAAATATACATATAGTAATATAATATATATATAGTAAATATATATAATATATATAGTATAATATTATATAAAGTATCACCATTCAACGAACGAAATGTGTCATTGCTATCCCATGCCGCATTGCATGGCATAGCCAGCAATGCGTGACTGGTACTCATCTCGAAGCTTCCTCTATGCTTTCGCTATCAGTGCATCCAAGTGACTCAAAGGTGGCCTTGGGAGAGCGCAAACCATAGCCCTGACAGGCCAACACCTGGTCCAAATTTTCCGACAGGATGAAAGTTATGAAAGTGTTGATGTTTCTAATCCGAATTTCTAGATTGTGCATGATTTCAAGATTATCAGGCATATTTCTCCGAATCATTCCGAAGAAAGGCACAAGAAAAGCTTGTCATAGCTTGTCCACACCTCGAAAGCCCGTTGGGCTGCTGGGATGTTCATGGTTGTCAGCGCAGTCTTGGCTGCCTGGTATGGTCTTCTTCAGTAATGGAAGTTCGATTTGGTGCAAAACAGCAGAACTAGACAAAGCCTACAAGAAACTGTCCCGACTTTACTTCTATATCTTCAGTTGATTGTTCATTCATAGTGGTCATGACTGATTCCATTCTGTCAGTGTATGCAAATTACCAACATTACCAACTGTTTCCTGCTGCCCCATAGGCAAGGTGTATTACGGAAGCGCCTCGCAAAGAGTCACCCGAGCAAACTCCTTGAAATCTAGAAGTCCCTCCTGAACGGTGCTGGGGGAACTCACTGAACCCCCAACCTTCCAGGTGCCATCGGACATTTCCCTATAGAGAAATCCGATGGCAAATCAGGCCGCAAGATCAAGATAGATCAAGAACATGCTAATGATGACAGTAAATCATAATCCTACCATGGGTCCAAATGAAAATCTTCTAACGTATGCTGGTGTCTTGAATGTTAACTCAGGATTGAATAGCTCCAGCTGATCTGTGTGGGGGATACCATCTTGAAATACATCGGTGTATCTAATGTATCCGTATGTTCGGCACAATTCCCTCTTCTATTTTTACATATAAATACTGGCGGCTTAGGAATGAAAGTGAATGGTGGCAAATAGATTAAATCACATCTACACTACAGGAAATTAACATATATGGAAATCTGTAAAATGATTTACAGTACTTTCATGGTCCGTTTCCATATCTATCTCTTAGTTTACCAAAGAGATTTTGGGACCCCAAATCATCTTCAACATGGGTTTATATGAAAATAGGGTACTACGCCTGAAAGCCAATGGATTTTCATCATTTCCAACTCAAGATGGTTTGGGGTAAACACCAAATTTTCGGACAAACCAAAATATCAAGTTGCTGGTTATATGTTCATCATCTTCCCATTGTATCCCCATGATATCCACGTGTTCATTGGCCAAGTTCCGTATCGCCATTATATGTTCATTATATCCACATGTTCATTGGGTTAGCGCCATTAAATTATGAAATCCACCTTTTCTGTTGTCAACCTCCTCCAAAGAAATCACCAAGTTAATTCTTGTTGGCTATATCATTCACATATCCCATCATCCTCATAAAATCCCATTAAGCACCCTCCAATCAAACATCCTCTAAACATGGTGCTTTAATATGGAACTCCTCCATTAATCTGGGCAAATTATAATAACTAACTAACCTGAAATAAGACCATATTGGGATAATTCCCCTTACTAACCATCATTCCAGTGAGGTCGCAGTGAGGTCGTTATAATTTACCCAGATTAATATGATGGATGTTCATGGATTTTCCAGCACACCATTCAGCTGATGACCGGAGTTCAGGCGCTCCCAGTCCTCCACCTCTGCTGCTACCTCCGCCTCTTCCATCGCTGCCTCCGGCTCTTCCACCGCCTGGAAGACCTGCGAAAAATCGAGAACTGGACGATTCCTGGGGGAAAGAAAAACTGCCAATGGCTGTAACTGTAACCATAGGATTCTTGGGAATTCATGAAAACCGAAGTCACACCTATATAATTGGAATTGAATGGGGATTGAGGGAGATCTAGTGGGATATAATAACCACCAATTAGGGTTACCCTGACTCTGGCAATCAAATATGGCAATGAACAATGCCCCAATTATAGATGATGTTCAGATTTAAATGCCAATCTATAGTGAATATTAGTGAATTATCTTGCCATCTTTGATTACCGGAGGGTATCATGGTGGATTTACTCTCAATCTAGAGCCATTTGTAATCGGAAATCATCTATAAATGGTTGTAGCTCGTGATCTAACCAGCAAAAATGGGGGAGTGTACAATTGTACAACCTACCATAATGGGAAAAACCCAGATACTAGGTGGGGAAATTGGGCTCTATCAAGAGGTCAAAGCTTCTCAAGGATCGCAAGGTCTGAACTCATGGGTCTTCAACTGGAAACTTTTGAAACATCAAGTCCTGACAATATGTTTGTAAGAAGAACATGTCTGACCAAGTCCAACCATATCTGGGTGACAATGCCGCCAAATTTCAAGTTTGACTCTTTCGAAATAAGAATCTATAGTGGCATATGTCAAAAATGGTCAAAATGGCGGTACCAATGGACCCTCACTACAGACCAATCCATATTTTTGGGGTTCATAATCTTGGCTCACCCATGTGAAAAATGTGCAAAGAAAATCATGGGATTTGCAGGCCTGGCTTGGATCTTGGCCATTGAGCTTGTTGCTATATCTTTCAGCTGCTTCCAATCCTCGCAAGCCATGCAGCAATTGAAGACATGCCTGGACTCAAGCAGGAGTCCAATAGTATATGTATATATGATATTATATAATATACAATGGTATATCAGTATCATTAAATAGGTTACATGTCATGAGTCATTATCACGTATATATACATATATATATATATATATACATATATATAGACATATATATACACATATATATATATACATATATATATATATACAGTATACAGAAACACAATACACATTATATCAATACATAGGGGGTTCTCATACCGTGGCATCCAGTTAACATCTAAGGATGGCACCTCGCTTCTCTGTAGGATCCGCCTCCCCCAGGTCCCAAATGACGTTGGCAGCAGCAACCTGAAGCTGGAACCGTTAGACTTGGGGAACACCAGGCTTCACCATCCATTGATGTTGGATTTTGGTTTTTACCCTTTAATAAACAATCAGCATGGTTTGGTAATATTGATGGTTTGGAAAATATTGGAAAATATTGATGGTAACATTAATAACAAAAAAAAGGGAATATTGATGGTTTGGAAAATGCTCGACATGTCTGCATGGTCTTCCAGATCCTAAGCCCCTAAGCTGTCACTGGGCGGCTGTTGAGTTTGTCCAAGTCCAAGGAGATTGTGGGAAAAATCTGACATACACTGCAAGGTCCAGAACATGGCCGGCAACGAGCTGCAACATCCAATGTTGATTGAACATGATTTTTCATCATGTAATATATGATCATATATGTTATGGTCTGATGGAAAATCTCCTTGAGTCAGTTGAGTCTCTTCAAAAATGGGGGTGGTCATCCATCTGGTTATTTAAGAGTTTGCCATGGAAAGATCCACCATGCTATTAAGAACGGTCAGCCATCTATTTCGATTAGGGCCATCGAAAAACCATGGCAAACTGTTGGTCATAACCAGAGGGTACCATGGTCATCCATGGTTTACCTCAATTGCCGTGTGGGAATGATCCATCCCTGGAGGCCCTGGGGAGTATGCTCGAACCCGGAACCAACGGAACCAACGCAGCTCGAATGACCGGCGCATCGTCTTCCAGGTTCTTTCCAGCAGATCGGACCAAGGTGGCCTTCAAGACTTGGTCAGCTGATTTTCAGAGGATTCACACATATCAAGGCCACAAGTGATTGATCTATGTTCATTTATGATTTTTCGACCGACAACCTATGATTTTCCATCGATTTATGATTTTCCCATTGATGACCTATGATCATTGAGGAGTCATTTTTGATGATTTCTCTGTGGCCAATGGCACCATGGCACCATGGCATCCGACATCTCCGACATCTCCGCCTGACGCGTGGAGAGCTCCAGCTGCAAGCGGCCCAGCTCTGATTTGGCCTTGGAAAGGTGGGCATCCAATGATTTCAATGGTTGCTTGGAAAAGATCTCAGTGCTGTGTGACTGTATCCCTGTAAGAAATGTGAATTGCACAGGGGGAACAATAGAAGAATGCCAGTAGTGCCGCGCAAGGCGGTGGCGGAAATTTCAAAAATAGGAAACCTATAGGAGAGGTTGGTTGTTGTGATTCATGGATGGCACAGCGAATCCACTGATGGACCGAAATGTGGTTGGAGTTGTGTTTTCTGGAGTGGTTGCAATGGTTGCAGTGGTCACCTCACCACAACTGCTGGATGTCGTGTGGTGTAGTGCAGTTGTAGTTGTAGTTGTAGTCGTAGGTGTAGTTGTAGTTGTAGTGGAGTTGTAGTTGTAGTTGTAGTCGTAGGTGTAGTTGTAGTTGTAGTGTAGTGGAGTTGTAGTTGTAGTTGTGGTGTGGTGTAATTAGTGTAGCGTATTGTAGTGTACTGTAGTGTTGCGTACTGTAGCATGGTATAGTGTAGTGTAGTCTGCCGTATTGCGTGTAAAGTAGTGTAGTTGTAATTGTAGTGTAGTGTCGTGTAGTGCAATGTAGTGGTAGTTGCAGTTGTAGCGTAATGTAATGTAATGTAATTAGTGTAGTGTAATGTAGTGTAGTTGTAGTTGTATTTGTATTTGTAGCTGTAATGTACTGCAGTTTAATTAGTGTATTGTAGTGTAATGTGGTGTAGCGGTAATTGTAATTGTAGTTGTAGCTGTGGTGGTGGTGGTGGTGGTGGCAGTAGTAGTAGTAGTAGTAGTACTAGTACTAGTACTAGTACTAGTACTAGTACTAGTAGTACTAGTAGTACTAGTAGTAGTAGTAGTAGTAGTAGTAGTAGTAGTCGTAGTAGTCGTAGTAGTCGTAGTAGTCGTAGTAGTACTAGTAGTAGTAGTACTAGTAGTAGTAGTACTAGTAGTACTAGTAGTACTAGTAGTACTAGTAGTACTAGTAGTACTAGTAGTACTAGTAGTACTACTAGAAGTAGTAGTAGTAGTAGTAGTTGTTGTAGTAGTAGTAGTAGTAGTAGTTGTTGTTGTTGTTGTTGTTGTTGTGTAATTAGTGTAATTAGTGTAATTAGTGTAATTAGTGTAATTATTGTAATTAGTGTAATTAGTGTAATTAGTGTAGTGTAGTGTAGTGTAATTAGATGCAATTAGTGTAGTGTAGTGTAATTAGTGCTGTGTAATGTAGCGTAGGATGTTTGCACTTGTAGTTGTAGTAGTAGTGTAGTGTAGTGGTGCTTGTAGTTGCAGCTGTCTATCTATCTATCTATCTAAATCTATCTATATCTATCTATATCTATCTATATCTATCTATATCTATCTATATCTATCTATATCTATCTATATCTATCTGTCTGTCTATCTGTCTGTCTATCTGTCTGTCTATCTGTCTATCTATCTATCTATCTATCTGATAACGAAGCTATTCTGCGAGGCTTCCTCAGTTTTTGAACTTGACACCATCCAAAACGAAGCTATTCTGCAAGACTTCCTGATTTTTTGCACTTGACAACGTCAAAAACGAAGCAATTCTGCGAGACTTCCTCAATTTTCGAAGTTGACAACATCAAAAACGAAGCAATTCTGCGAGACTTCCTTCAAAAATCGAAGTTGAGTGCAGAGCTGACGGCCTCGTACCAATGCGTTTTGCTATTGTTCCACTCCACCTGTCTAAACTACTGCGCCTGCCGTGAAAAAGTGATACCCGGTCATACGAAGTGCTGCACCTGTTACGCAAAATCATCTCAGCAAACATGAAAATCTGATGCTCCAAAATGCAACCCATCTCAGGAAATCAGCGCCCGGACCTCCTAACAGCTCTGATGAACATGTCTCTTGTACTGCGCCTGCCACGGAAAATGCATCTTCGCAGATCCTCTTCAAATGTCCCAGGCCTGCCATCGTTTTTGGAAATGCTAAAAAAAACCCTCATGTTTTGCTGACTTTTGACAAGATGCACAATCCCGTGCGCCTGCCACGCGAAACGACTGAACGTCCAAAAGTGGTCCGAGCCCCTGACATCTCAACTTCCAAAAGTGGTCCGAACCTGGTGTGTTTTGTACATTTTGACTTCGAGATGTGCTTCGCGCCACAACGGCGTGCACTTTTTCGACATCGCAACTTCCAAAAGTGGTCCAAACCTGGTGTGTTTTGTACATTTTGACTTCGAAATGTGCTTCGCGCCACAACGGCATGCACTTTTTCGACATCGCAACTTCCAAAAGTGGTCCAAACCTGGTGTGTTTTGTACATTTTGACTTGGAAATGAGCTTCGCGCCACAACGGTGCGCAATTTTTCATCTCTCATCTGGCCAGCTGGCTCCGCACCCGCCGCTTTAGCGAGCCTACTTTTCGACCCTCCGGAGCCTCAAATCATTGGAAAAACACAGTGTTTCGCGACTTTCCTACCTTTTCACGCACCTGGATCTTCTTTCTTCTGAGACTTTCTCTTCTTTGATCTACTTTCTTCTTCTCTTCTCTTCTCTTCTCTGACTCTTCCCACCTCTGCTTTTCATTTGTCCATATTGTCGGAAGTTTGACTTCTAAACTTCCTTCGAATATTAACATGTATGAATAATAGAATATAAACTCCCAATGAGAGAATCGAAGGTCCTAGAAAATCACTCACGAGGAACCCTTGACCGATTGACCCGTGCGAAAAACCTGGCTTGCCTCCGCCCAAAGTGCGGGATAGTCTGGGACCACTTCAGCCTTGGAGGAGAAAACCATGGCCAAGAACTGTAACTGTCATGTTTGATTCGAGGTGAAGGCAGAGATGTGGCATCCAATCACACAAGCAGAACTTCATTCTGAGCTTAGTCTTACAGTCGTCAATCCATCTATATATATAATATATATATAATATATCTGTTATATATGTATATATCATTATATCATTATATACATGTATGTTGGCAGATGATTCCCATGACTTTTCCGCTTTTTGTCTAGTGAACATGATACCCTGACCAAGACAAGTGTTTTTTCATCCTATCCACAGAGCTCTTTGACTTCCCCACCTCATCGGCTTGCTGAACTGCCAGTTCCAACACCGACACTGCATTGGAGACCTGTCAAGGTAATCATAGGTAATCCCATACCCCTAACACCTAACATTAATTAAATACTCCCAAAATCGCACAAATGAAATCATCGAAATCCTGGTTTAGGACTGGATCAAGTCATTCCGGGGTCCCTTAGCTGCTGAGGATATGAATATTCCTATAGTAACTACAGGTACATCTGAATATCTCTCAATAGAAGGGAGAAGAGATCGCTATGCAAACCCCATCAAACCCCTGCCTATGATGTGACCTTGCCTATGGGTCTCCCACCTTGGCCACGGAATCCTCAACCTCTGCCATGGCTCGAGCAAATTTCGTCATCTTCTCCTCTTCTGAAATTTGCTCCTCCACCAACCTTGGTTGTTTAATGGTTGCTCAAAAAAACCATACCTCAATTCAACTCAAGACACCTTAAGACTTAAAATGGACAGCCCGACCTGTGTATCTGCAACTTGAAGGGAGGAAAAAAGTGCACACTGTGGCCAAGCTCTTAGTGGAAAAGAACAATCCGGTCGCGGTTGATAGCATCCAACAGGGACTGTATTGAAAATTTGAGGATTAACTAGCGATGAGGAACTATTTCACCTATTTCTTGGCTTTCCTATCCACGTGCCTTCTGCGTGGAGACATATATAAATGGCACGACACGAGGACTGATGCTTCTATCCATCCAGTTTCTCTACCCAAGCATTTTGGGATAAACAAAAAGTGTATACCTATTCCATCGTTCAGCTTGCCTCCCGACAAAACGCTAGGCTGGAATCGTGTTGTTTTGCTCATCCCTCCGGGTCGCTTTGACAACTTCGCAGCTGAGCCACTGCAACCACTTTTGAACCTTGTCGTCGTCTGCCCCAAAGCTGGCAGAGTCCTGGTCCAAACTTCTGCCGAAAACGCCTCCTTCATTGGAGCACACCGCAAAGAGGGGTGCGTTCTTGGGATCCGAAGCTACCCGCTTCATGCGTTCCTTCTGCAACCTTCGGTGCAACTTGCCATTCGCTTGAATACATCGACGGAGCGCCAAAACGCGCGCATGCCAAATTTCCAGTCGAACTACCAGGATTTCAGAGGGTAAGGCCACATCCTGCTCAATTCCTTCCACTGGAAGTGTCATGGTCAACAATGCATCAGTGGAAGGTTGAGTTGCTGCGATGGCCTGCTCCATACGACAGGCAAACTCTTCGAGACCAGCATAGGTCAAAGCAGCGGCATTTTGTGGGTCTCGATTCAAATCCATTTCTCTCACCTCCAACATTTTGCACATGACTTCCAGGAAATTCATGCAGTCTGCAATCTGACGACGGTAGAATCCTGCACCCACTAACTCTTCTCCAAGCTGGAAGTGTTTCTCGATCGCCAAATTCATGTCGTTGACCCAGTGCTTTGAAGTCACCTATCAGAGGCAGGGAGAAAAACTTAGCACACTGTGGGGGAACATGGAGGACATTGTCATCATGATGATGATGGTGATGATGATGATGAGGATGAGCAGGAGGATGAGGATAAGGAGGATGAGGATAAGAAGGATGATGAGGATAAGGAGGATGATGAGGATAAGGAGGATGAGGATAAGGAGGATGATGAGGATAAGGAGGATGATGAGGATAAGGAGGATGATAAGGATAAGGAGGATGATGAGGATAAGGAGGATGATGAGGATAAGGAGGATGATGAGGATGATGATGGTGGTGGTGGTGATGATGATGGTGGTGATGGTGGTGATGGTGGTGGTGGTGATGATGGGGATGGGGATGGGGAAGATGATGTTGACAGCAGTGACAACGAACAAAAACGGATGGTGATTCCCAATACCCAGAGAGTAACACCATTGTCTCCCCATGCAGCAGGCGACATGATCCCCGTTGGGCGTTCAACTTAGGGTGCAGCACCAGGTTTTCATCCCAAAAACCAAGTTTAAAAACCTGGAGGGCAAAGGTGTGAGCAAAACAAATGAAACGATGGAAAGTTGACCTGGCCCCTATTTCTGACAATGAAAAATCAAGGTACAACAGATTAAACCCAGTGTCGCTGGTGTATGTTGAAAATCAAAAAATTGGCACAAGAGGTGAAAACAACAGTGCTCAGCATGTGTTCAACAAAAGGCTTGAACTATAAAGTCAGAACTTCCCCAGAGAACGGTCAACCACATCCTTTTCATCCCACCCAGCTTCCGCTCCCACATCGTATCAATGCCTTGTTGGCATGGCAAATGCCAAAGCTTTCAACGTTGGCATATCATTTTTTTTTTTGCGGTAACAGCTCTCCATGTTACACCACGCATTTGTCCCAACCCATCCTGAACCAAAGCCCCAAAGATACACCACTAAACTTCACATCCTTAGGCCTTAGACTTTCATCTCACACATCCCTCTTTTGAACTTTGCCGGAGCAGCTCTCCATGCTACACCACGCATTTGTGCCAACCCATCCTGAACCTACCTCCCAAAGATACACCACAAAACCTCAGATCGTAAGATTTTCATCTCCCATATCTGTTTAGAACTTTGCCAGAACAGATCTCGATGTTACACCACGCATGTGAGCCAACCCATCCTGAACCAACGTCCCAAGACACACTACAAACTTGAGATCCAAAAATGTTCATTTCATCCCTGTTTTGAACTTTGCCGGAACAACCCGGAACAGATTACACCACGCATGTGTGCCAACCCTGAACCAACGTTCCAAAGATACACCACAAAACCTCAGACCCCAAAATTTTCATCTCACACATCCCTCTTTTGAACTTTGCCGGATTAGCTCTTCACACCACGCATGTGTGCCAACCCATCCTGAACCAACGTTCCAAAGACACACCACAAAACCTCAGACCCCAAGATTTTCATCTCACACATCCCTCTTTTGAACTTTGCCGGAGCAGCTCTCCATATTACACCACGCATGTGTGCCAACCCTGAACCAACGTTCCAAAGATACACCACAAAAGCTCAGACCCTAAGATTTTCATCTCACACATCCCTGTTTCGAACTTTGCCGGAACAACCCGGAACAGATTACACCACTCATGTGTGCCAACCCATCCTGAACCAACGTTCCAAAGACACACCACAAAACCTCAGACCCCAAAATTTTCATCTCACAGATCCCTCTTTTGAACTTTGCCGGAGCAGCTCTTCACACCATGCATGTGTGCCAACCCTGAACCAACGCTCCAAAGATACACCACAAAACCTCAGACCCTCAGATTTTCATCTCACACACCTGTTTTGAACTTTGTCGAAGCAGCTCTCCATGTTACACCACGCATGTGAGCCAACCCATCCTGAACCAACGTCCCAAGACACACTACAAACTTCAGATCCGAAAATTTTCATCTCACATTCCTGTTCTGAACTTTGCCGGAACAACCCGGAACAGATTACACCACGCATGTGTGCCAACCCTGAACCAACGTTCCAAAGATACACCACAAAACCTCAGACCCCAAAATTTTCATCTCACACATCCCTCTTTTGAACTTTGCCGGATTAGCTCTCCATATTACACCACGCATGTGTGCCAACCCATCCTGAACCAACGTTCCAAGATACACCACAAACGACTAATGACTCAATTTTGCAAACCCATCCTCATCCAACCTCCCAAGATACACCTCTCAAAATTTCAATGTTCACCGTATCGGTGGCAAAAATGTCGAGCCTTGCAAGAAGACACGGTCAGTAAGCTTCAGTGGCTTAAACTACCTGCGCCCAACGTATTGCAAAAATGCTCTCAAGAGGCGTTCCCTCGGCTAAAATCCTTTGGCTTCATGGTTTATTTAAAATCAAAATTCTAAAATATGTAAAAAGGGACCAAAAGCTAAAAAGATGAGGCCTAACTAACATTCTCTCGGCTAAATCTGGCTGAAATCTGGCTAAAAAAACAAGCTCCAGCCGCCTAGTTTCAGCCAGGAGCCCCAAACGGGGATCGACATGTTGGAACCTGGCCTGAGATTTTCTCAGCCGTTCCAGCTCTGAATGCAGCTGTCTGGTGGAAATGCAGCATTGCGCTAGGACGTGCTTTGAACTGAAGCTGGGCATATTTATCTCGCTTCCACCCTTGAAGGTCGAACCGCCAATGCTTCCAAGCACCTGCAGGTGGCCGTAGGTGGCCGTGGTATGGTGATGGCCATCATATCTATCGTGCATCATGGGAAATCTGGAGGAACACCAAAAGTGATCTCACCCCAAATCCCTGTGCGCCTTTGGCTTCTTTACAGCAGCTTTAGTTCCAGGCGACTGGTTGATGGCTGCCAGTGCTTCCTTGAAGATCTCTTGTGCAGGGAAGGGCTGTTTTCGCGCCTCATAGGCGTTGGCCAACAACACGGCGGCCTCTGAGCACTGCCCCAAGTCCGCGGCGCTCAACTCGCGCAATATTCGCACGGCCTCGCTGTGATTTCCCTCCTCCATAGCAATCCTGGCCTTGGTCACCGCCAAATCCCGCAGAGTTCGACCATCACCATAGACCTTGGCGTGACGTTCAGCCTCCTTGGTCAATGTACAGGCCATCCACAACTCAGCATGATGGAGGCATTCCTTACTCAGCTCGGCCCAAACTTGGTAGGCATACAACTCCCCCAGGCCCCAGGGGGCAGCCACTTTTCGAGATGACAACTGGCCATTCGTCTCCACCTGCGAAGAAACTTCTGCTTGGTGGCGCCTATCATGGATGAGTCTATAAATAATATCCATTTCAGATATAAAACAATCCCAAATCAGTTCGTACAACCCATTAACATCAATTCAGCCTCATTTCTGCTTAACTTCCACATACTTCCACCATATTTGTTGGTGAATCTCCCCCTCTTGCTGCTATGCACCAGGAATTTTGGCCGCTGACCTGGATATTGATCCAGGCTGGATCCAAATCTTCCGCGCCCTTGCGCCCTGCGCGCTTGCTGCGAACCTGCTCCAGTTCCTGTGCGGCCGGTGATGGTTGGATGGTGAGTACTTGTTTTCCTACCGATAATAGTGGTGACATGTGGTGACTCTTATCGATAATAGTGCTTCTTGGATGAATTCAGATCACACTCGTGGTGAATACACCGCAACTTAAATCAAGTCAACAGTCTAGAACTTCAGAACCACTCAGGAGAGCACCCCCCCATACATTGTTTTGATCTATTCTCAGTCAAATCAAAATAAGTTGAAATCATGACAACTTATATGTTTATATGTATTGTAACATAGTCAATCATCATCATCATCATCATCATCATCTCCATCTCACAATTCATAATGATCATTTTTATAATAATTCTGCTTGATACCCATATTCACAATATATCCCATGTGATACCAATGTGATCCCGTCGTTGTGCCTCCTTAAAGGAATCGAAGGTCTCCGGGATCTGCTGCAATTCCTTGGCCGTCTCCTCCCGCAACTGTCCATAGGCCTGGCGCAAGCGGCACTCCCCAGCCATCCGCGCCAGGCGCAGCTTGGCGGTGCAGGCGACCGCTTCCTTCACGGGGCTCGGGAAGGCGTTGGCCAACTGGAAATGCAGCGCCAAAATCGGCAGCGCGAAGATGTGATAGCCATGTTCCTCCAGATCATCCTCCAAACGCAGCAGGGTGAAGAAAGACACTGCGGGGCGGCTGAAGACTTCGGGATGGCCCACCCAGGTGCAGGTGCTACTCCAAACGAAGCCGTTCTCTTCAGCTCGTTTGAAGACTTCGGTCAGGAGGGGTGACTGCCAGGACCAGTTTTCCACTGAGGCCCAGTCGGCCAAGCGCAAAGGCAGTCCGAAGATTGGGATCAATTGGATCGGCTCTTTCTCTTCCTGTCACCCACCATTTTTTGACTTGACATATCTTAGCATTAGACATCATTCACCTAAGTGCAAGTTGCAGCAGTGCAACTATGTGCAACTGTAACCCCCAATCACTGGGGTTAGAAGCGAGCAACAAAGGGCGGCTATACACTTATTCAGTTATAAGTTATACCACAAAATTTAAAGTCATATATGACCATGACATACTATGACATAGACTATATCATCCATACATGATCCATTAATATGAAGCATACATAGATCCTGCACCAACAAAAACTGCTATTTTGGCATGGCCTTTTTGGTGAGCTTGGTAAGCTCACCATCAAGCTTGGCATCTTCAGCTTCAGCTTCTGGCTCCTGGCAGACGAAGCCCCAAGTCTGGCTTTGACTTGGATGATTTCAATGGATTGGGTCATGGCTACCCCCCATTTTAAGAAACCTCCAGTTAGACTTCTGGATATTTCTGGATCTTCTGGGACCCAGGAAACATCCTGAGGACATTTCGCACGTAAGGCATTTTTTGACGTGCCAAGACTAAGAAACTGAGACTCCTTGCGGCTCAAACTTGGCTGACTGCCATCCCAAACTATCAGGTTGTGGTTTAGCTCTTCACAAAGGCTGATATGTTTACTTCTGATGGGTTCATGATTATAACTTTCACCTTACCCATAAATCCCTGATCACTGCATTGATTGAACATCTACAGGAAACCATGTTTTTTTTTTACGCACACATCTATAGATATAAGATGATATAAGGGTAACAACAATGGGTTTCCCCACACATTTCCCGTCATCCAATTCTCCGAAACAAGAGGCCAATTCTGCGAAATATAATACTGTAAGAGGGCCACTAGTTCTCGCTCCTTGATGATCTTATTGTGAAGCTCTTGAGCAAAGCCATTGGCCAACCTAACGGATGACTGGGGGATGCGCCACAATGATCCAACATGGCCATTTTGGGACATATGAATAGCCCGTTTTTGGAAAACACATGGAAACACTGTTCTTTTATGGGAAATATGTTCTTTTCATACTGGGAATCATTAATTCCATCTGGGAAGGTGACTGAACATGATGATAAACCGTTGGATTCGGGTTAGCACCACCTGTGGCTGAAAGGCCACTCTATGTGTCCTGGAGGGATCAAAACCCTGGCAGAGTCTGCACAAACCAGCAGGTAGATTGTGCGAACTTGTCCACAAAACATACATACGTAATATAATATAATGCTAGAACACATTAGAATGTGTTAGATTCTATTCTCACACCAACAGAACGTACATAATCAGTCAGTGACAATCATGTATTATCAAGTATCTAATCTACACTTTACATCACTTTACTTATCTTCACAGGGTAATTGTGTTGTTCTTTTTTGATCATCGTTACCCATTGCTACCAGTATGTCCATCCCCTGGTGACCTCATGGCTCATGGCCACCAAGCCACTCCAGCGACGACTCGAAGAAGCGGAAGGCGAAGTGCGACGCCGCTTGCAGCGCGGTGTGAAATTCGCGACCCTGCAACAACTGAGCCTCACATCGAACATCATCGAACTGTTTGAACATGTTGGCGAAACATGGCCAAACCATGCAAACAGCCTAAATCCACTGGACACTGATGATATCTGATGATTGTTGTTTATGAATGTTTATGATATTCCCACTAAAGTGGAGCCATATGAAGTCGTCGACTGGGTTCCAATGTCAAATTCTATGGGGTATCAACTCTGAGAATCCATGAGAAATCGCTTGCCTTTGACAGAAAAATAGGGTACTCGGGTACGCCTGAGACCCGTTGTTTAATATTTGTTTATCATGTTCATCGTCAAACTCATTCAAACTCCTCATTAAAGCAGCCATTTGATCATTTTGCTATACTCCATCTCTGGATAACTCTGGCCAAACTGCGAAACTCCTCGCGAACCGGCGGTGCCTTCATCGTTTGGATTCGACACAAGGACTCGAAGTTGTGAGCGAAAAGCTCGTATTCCATTTCGTCATCTTCGTCCTCCACCGCCATTAAGGCAAAGGTTTAAAAAACATGTGGTGTTGGTGGAAGAACATGTGCCATGATGGTTTTGATGATGATGATGATGATGATGATGATGATGATGGCCTTCCACTCCATACAGGTTCGCAGGCCAATCCCATCCTCTCAACATGCCTTTCAGCAAACCAGGAAATCATGACATTCAATCTCTCTATACTCTCTATATCTCTCTATTCTCAATGTATGTTCTGGATCTTAATATATCTTAATCAAATCTTAATCAACTTTAATCCTTCCTTCCTGCACGACGTGTTCCGAAACGTCTCCTGCTTCTGCTGCTTCCGATTCTTGGCTAGGACACTCTCGGAGACGCGACTTCCAGCGCGTGATCCTGCCAAGCTGCTGGGACAAAATGGATCCAAATGGATTCAAATGGGATGTTGGTTATAGTGATATATAGTGATGGTATCATTGCCAAACATGTTGTCAATGTTGTCATCTATCTTCGCCCGAGAAAATCAATTCCAGACCTTGTGAATCCTTACACATCCTTACCTTCCCATTTTCATCGGACAATTTTGGGCCCATGTCAAGGCCCATCGAACGTCTCCTGCTCGGGAACCGGCTCTCGAACCCGCGCGAGAACCAGCTCGGGAACCAGCGCGCGAACCCTTAGAGCTTTTTCCAGCTCTGGAGCCACCCATGGAACTTTTCCCACAGGCACTTCGGCTAGCGCTTCCCTTCCTGACATGCTGAAGGGCAGAAAAAAAGAGACGAAAATGTGGGGGGAATGGAATGTTCTAATGAAAGACATGGGAGATTTGGGGATGATTCCTGTAAAAAAGATCTTTAGATCCATAGTAACCATAGTATTGTTGTTGATCAATAATGGGCATGTGATTTGTCCAATTTGCGAGGTAACCGTGATTAACACCCCAAAGACTGAGCTTGCCCAGCTTCTTTTTGCCTCCCTTCTTATTCTTAGACATCCGGCTGCTTTGACTTCCAGCTTTGCTGCCAGCACCAGATTTTCGGCTTCCAGCTTTGCTTCCTGCCATACTCCCAGCGCGGGAGCTCCCCATTCGACTACCCGAGCGGCTGCCTTTCTTGCTGCCAAAATTGGATTGACTCTTGTCCCAATCAGATGGAGCCACTGAACTTCCACCATCATCACTGTCATGATCTGCTCGATCTCCCACCCCGCTGTAGTAGCGCGCATCGCCACCCTCCTCTTCTTCCTCGTCTTCTGAGCCTTCTTCAATCTCCAACAGCAAATCCGACGCAGCTCCCAGTTGTTCCAGGGCATCGGAGATTGGGAAACCACTCCTCAACAGCCAATCTGCAAACTGCATCCGCACCTCAACGACCTCTGGCTGCATGGCAGCCTGTAGGACGTTCATGGCTTTGCTGAATGCTGTAATTTGATCCTTCAGCTGGGAGGATGCTCCAACCAAAACTAACCAAATGTTGGCCTGTGCTTTCGCTTGACTCTCCTGCAGGGCACTGAGATGCTTGGATTTGGATGGACCAGATCAGAGGGGTGTTAAAAACATGTACTCTGGTCAGCTGGGGTTGGGCAAACCCATGATTGCCTGACATCCAATTTCCAGTTCTTTGCCTCACCGTACAAGGAACTTTCATGGGCCAAAACCTCATGCACCAAAGATAAGTGGCAACCACAAATAATTATGTGTGGCCAAGCCATTTCAGACTGGTCGCTACAAATGATTCCCCCATGCAATGCCACATGAAATTTGTTGCCAGGCCAGCAGAACCATGAATGTAACCACCATCCAAACTCAGAAGATGAAGAGTCATCTACGTATCTTACCTCTCTCTCGGCGAATTTTGGAGGTATGAACAGCTAGCAGCATGTAACATCATGTAACAGCTACATCAGCCCAGTTTTTGGCGTCACGGCACCTTCATCTTGCCCATGGCCACAGTGACATTCTTGCCCTGGTGGCTAAGTGCCAACATGCGAAGTGCCCAGAGGCGTCGGTGGCTTTCGGCTGGGACTGCGAGGAAGGCATCTTTCAACATCTCGTGGATGTCATCCCATTGTTCCTGATCTGCATAGCAGTCCTCAGCGGCACTGGCACATTTAGTGGCTTCATCTGGCGCATGCTGAAGAATTGTAGAATTTGAAGTCCAATATCTAATGCATATGAGGGGCCAAGAAGGGATTTAGGCGCTCAAATTTTTAGTCTAGCCGGTTTTGCAACCGCCATATTCGCATTGAACAACACCGGCAACTCCCCCTACCCAGTTGGAAGCAAACCATCAACTCATCTCCGACTCCACGAGTTGCACCAGTCCGGTATGAAATTTGGTCTGAGCTACATAGAGGGCGGCATAGAGTTCAGCAAAGAAAAATGGATCCTCTTCGTACTCGACCGCCTTGGCAGCTGGTGAAACAGCTCCAACACAAGCGACACATCTTGGAATCGAAATCCGGGAGCTGCGATACCAAGCACCCCGGCAGCCAGTGCCCTTGCTGCCTTTGAGAACGGCTCAACCAGCCTCCGCAGGATCAAAGATCAGTGGAGGCCACGTGCCATCCGCACTGTTGCTTTCAGAGCTGCAGCACCGAATTACATCAAATTACAAGGTTTTCTTTATCATTAATTTAATGTTATTTATCTATAGTCTATACTATATACTATAAAACACTCAGAAAGTTTTTAGTGTGGCTCTTTGCATTCTGCCCATCACTGGACTTCGTATAGCAGACCCTATGCCAAGGGGCAAGGCGCGTGTCTCCGCTGAGTCCATGAAGGGTAAGGCCACATTCCAAAGTGCACTAGCGCCAAAACTTGCAAGGGCCTTAAAACAGATAGAGAAGGGGAAACACTGGGAAACACGAGACTCTTTGCATCTAAAATTGCGCTTTCTTGATTTTCAAAGTGCAAACTAATCATTTCTGAAGACAAAACCAACTTGCGCGATAATTCTTAGCCACTCAGAATGCAAAGAACCTCCCTTCTTGATAAGGATCTGATATGGTTTGATTCAAGTCAAGGCCGTCGTCCAGCGTCATATCTGTTCATATCTTTTCCCGATCTACTTTTCGGGGCATTTTCAGTCAAGATGCAAGATTGCTAGTTGCGATGGCGTAGTCGCAGCAACGCTCGAACTGTTCGACTGACATGCGCCTGACACGGCTTTGATATGCTTTGAGGTAGATTGGTCGGCCACAAACACCAACAGGAAACAGTCTTTAAACAAAGTGGAAACCCCAGCAACAAATTTACTGTACCGTTTCAACATGTTTCAATGGTGTTCAGTCTGCTACGAAATGGCATATCATGGTCGTTGGAAAGGGTGTTAAGTGTTAAAACGAAACTAAAGGTGTGAGAACTTGATATTCAGCTAGACTCAGCCTCAGCTTGGCCAGGCTCTCTTTCTCCTGCCACTGTCTTGGAGGGTCAGGAAATATCAGGAACAACACAGGTTTGAACTGTTTGAACATCACCAAAACTTGGGACATTCCCAGGTGGTCTCCAGGTGGTCTCCTGTTCCAATGGGTTGATCAACGATGCAAAGACCTCTCCGCAAAGGGCATGGCATGCCCCGCGCCATCTCAACCGCTCCTCCAAGGCGTACCTGGAAGATATTGGAAGATTGTCCCGATTTAAAGGGACACAGTGTACAGGACAACATGTTTTTTTAAAGTACCAGACAGTGAATATGCAGACATAGCACAAGATTTCTCTGGAGATCAAACAGGTCAAGAGCTTGAAGGTTTCAACATGTTTCATCAGTTTGTGCAATCAGAAAAGTGGCTGTTGCAATCAGATATGGCTCAAAAACTGGCCACCAATGGGTAGACCATGTAGACCCAGTAAAAATCCTTAAACATCAATGTCCAACAGACCTTGACCACAAAATGCTCCCACTTTTTCTGGGTGATTTTGTGGGAGAACCATTTTTCCCAGCCAGTACCCAACCGGGCCCAGCGCGGCACTTGGGGATGGGTGAATCCACTTTCCCCAGGCCCTGGATGCTGCACATCAAGGCGTACTTGGCACCTGGCGCACCAAAAAAATTGGATTTTTTTTACCTGGATAGATGGATGGAGAGTTGAGCTAACCAGACATTTGGGTACATTTGGGGATTTCAAAAAGATGGATACAGTGTCTGATTTTAAAGATTACATACTGTATGAGAATATTAATGAGATGTGTATGGTTTTATCCCAAGACTTGGCATACAACACATTTATAGAACTGCTCAATAGCACTGTCTAGTGCGTTTCACCTGAAACACTATTTATTTCAATTTATTTCATATGTATTTCATTGTATTTTCATATATATGTTCATATGATTTTCGTTGTCTTGGCTCCTTGGCGTCTCTGGGTCGCTCACCAATGCTTGGATTCATTGGTGGCAACAAGCACTGTCTGCCCAACCTGACACTCGGAGGCAGCCAGAGTGGGAAACCTGGAATGCTGATTTTGAAATTACGATACGTGGTGCCCTCCAACACCCTCTCTCCCTTTGTATATATATATACATAGCAAATAGTATAATAGTATGGATATATATGGATGACTTCACAACTTGATCTTGCCGCGGCCCAAATTGGCCGCCAACGCCAACTGTGATGGCCTGGCCTTGTCCAAAGCTCCAGCCACAAGGTGAGTTTTCCCTGCCGATCTCAGATCTTCTTAGATCATCGAAAATGGACAGTTGAGATCATCTCAGACCGGATCGTGGCCTCGTCATTGTCTGGTGGCTTCCACTTTCCAAGCGAGGCCACTGCCTCAAGGTACCCAAAGAACCACGGACTTAAGGATCGATATACAAGTACTTCAGATATACTTCAGATATACTTCAAATATACTTCAAATATACTTCAAGTATACTTCAAAGCAATGCTTCACAGATCTGTTTTATATGTTTTACATGTTTGTTCAGAAAGCTTCAGGACATGTGTTACATTACGTTCCAACGCTGGGGTCAGTTGCCTGATCCACCAACTTCCTGGCTTCTTCTCCATCCTCACCGGGTGGCTTTCACATTCAAATTGCGAATGTTCAATGGTTTCAATGGTTTGGCGGAGTTGTAAATCCTCCATATCCTCCATATCCTCCATTTCCGTGTATGTTTCTCGTATGTTTCTCATATGTTTCCATACTTCTGTCCATTTCAATATCTCAAGAACGCTCTTCAGCCCTGTGGCCCTGCCGGTCCTTCGCCTCGGGCATGCTCATCACCGCGGCCATGATGTTGACTCTCAAAGCCTGAAAAACACGAAACGGAACAGCAAGAACTGCTACACATCAAGCCGCTTTAGGGTTGCCGAATCAAGACTGCTTAGAGTTGTTTGGCTCACATCTCACACCTGCATTTTCGATCGCAGACTTCATAGCTCTGGGCAATCTACTGTCAGCCTTTTGCTGCAAAGTGTATTAATACTCCTCCAACCATGAAGACGCACTCACCTTCTGTTCTGACAGGAAACTTGAGACACGCTCAGGTACTTCTGCCGCTTCTGCCGGTACTTCTGCCAGTACTTCTGCCGCTTCTGCTTCGTGGTTTCTGTCAGATTTTTCAGGACTACTAAAATCTGATGGTGGAACTGACAGTGGAATCAATGGTGGATAAAGACCACCTCCATTGGCTGCATCTGCAACATCACCATCTGCGATCTCTGCGGCATCTGCTCTCAAGAAGTTCTCCTCCACCTCACTCTGGGACTTTGACATGGCCGACAGAATCAACTGTTTGGTCCGTTCCACCAAATTCACAATCTTTTCCGTGACGTCAGGACCCATACCCAGAGACAGAGACCCTGACCATGAGGGCGACATGGCCTTCTCTAGCACGAACAAAGCCAACTTCGCAGCACGTTGACGTGTCTTCTTGCGACTGCTGACGCCTATGGCCCAAAGGCCTTCGCCTCCGTCGCGCTTGACATAGACCACGTGCGGTAGGTTGCCGCCGCCGTTCAGTTCTTTCCAGGGGCTTCGGACCGGATATTTCCAATCTTTCATGTATTCCTTGGAGCTGACTTGCAGTCCCCAAAAAATAACACATGATTTCATATTTGCTTGAATTTTCCAATATTTTCCATGTGGAAAATAACAAAAATATACAAAAATCATCAGCAAAGCCAAGATTCCACTTCTCCAAGGTTCCAACCACTACAGAGACTTAGAGCCGACTGCAGCAGTTTATCTTTCTCTGCACCATACATGGCTAAGACCATACATGGCCGACCTCCATCACAGTCCACCGCACACACCACCGCCAACACTGCCAATTCAGGTGAAGTATGGTCTGTACTCCAACCACTGGGCCAGTCTGGGATGTTGGTACCATTGGTACCATTGGTACCTTGGTATCCTTTTCCAGAATCTCCAGCATCATTTGACCCGGCCATCTCCGATTTTGGCTGGGAACCGAATGTAAAGGGCTCATCAATTTCTATGCAGAAATCGCCAGGGACTACCCCTGGAGCAAAAATTGGCTGAAATTGGCCGTTGTCACAAGTGAAAGAAACGGAAAGCTCCGGATTGTTGCGGAGAAAAGCTTTCGACTTTTTTGGAAAGCGCCAATCATCTTGCAGGTTTGACAAGTCGGCAGCAGTTACGTAAAATGCCTCATATTCGATGGCCAGGGTGATAGTGTCGACAAATCCTGGATTGTACGCTTTCATGCAAAGGAAGTGTCCCATTTGTATGTTCATCTCCGACTCATAAGTCTGTTCAATCTCATTTCTGATGTCCCGGTGAGTCATGACAATGACGTGCAAGCCAAGATCCTGAAAGGTCCTAATTGCCCTGCACAACTGAAGAATCTTCTTTGTCCGGTCAGGGTCTTTTGGCTCGACTTTGCTATACGTTGGTGTTCCAAGGGGTCCGACGGTTTCTGCGTCGAGTACCACAACCGACACCCTGTGCAGTTGCACATCCATGGGTCTAAACGGTTGTCAGCTATCTAAAAGCATTAAAACATACTCTTCAATGGTGTCTAATTACATGTACTGAATCTCGAGCCGCACAAGTCACAACAGGATATCATATATGTAACAATTAACCATGATTAACAATGTATATATTGATTATAGTACATAAAAACATGTCAATGTGTGTGTATGTACATGGAGCACAATATCTCTGCACGATACTATATCTAATAATACATAATATACAGTCGTCCTGGAGAAGAGATTATACCTTGAAAATTTCAATACACACAATTCCTTAAATGGGAATAGGTTTGCATATCAGTATACATAACACATACACAGAGAAGAATTCATAGATGTATATTATCGATGTATACAATGTAATACATGTAGATCAATGGTTTGCAGATCAGTGTCCGACCGAACATTGAAACTGTGCGAAGCGTGACAAGAGCTGCTCCCGCCACTGCACCTCCAAATCTGATTCTGCACTCTCTGGTGGTCCTTGCAGTCAAAACATTTCAGGGTTCAAGTGGTGAACAACTTCAAACTTCTTGGTATCTCTGAAGAATCTCACATGCTCAACTTCATCTGGACTCATAGCTATCTATATCCATCTATCTATCCATCCAATCCATCCCTATCTATACAATTCGATAGAGACGTTATATGTATGATTCCTGTATCCACAAGTCCAAGTCCCAAGTCGTCCTTTTTGGCCTGTCGCTGCCTGATGGAGGTGCTTGCCGTGGTTGGAAAGCCAAGGGAAACACACATATGAATATTATATACGTATGTATATTAATTTATATTACATATACTATATATATATATGTATATGTATATGTATATATATAATCACTATATATATATATTATAATATATCTACACAATAATATTGGAACAATTTGAATAGTAACACTAATAACTTTAAAGGACACAGCAATGATGAACAATGATAGAATAAGAATGATGGAACCAGTGGTAATAGTGTTGTTTCCCCTACAACCATAGTCATTTATATGGAACATTCTGAAACAAACATGGAACACAACCACTAGTGACAATTTGGAAACAATTTGGTGCTGAAAAAAAAGGGGCCAGGAACATACAGCTCGGAGCTACAGTGCCGCCTGGGTCTTCGACTGCGCAACATCAGGTGGCTTCTCATTCTCCTACATGGGAGCCGCGCTTTGCCGACAGCGACTGAACCAACACAAAATCTTGAGACGAAAAATGGAAAAAAAAACACATACCAAACCTCTCAAGGAAGACACAAATTTAGGATTACTATATGACTTGCTATGAATTACTATGATTTACTATGAATTACTCTGAAAATATGCTGGCATGTGCAGTCATCCTGTGTCCAAATGATCCAAATAAACAAATAACCAGTCCTTGCATACCTGCACCACACGTGCCATGATCTCCTTCCGCTCACAGGGTCCCAACCGCTTCCTAGGGCCATGATGGGCCATCAACCATGACACGACCTATACATGACCTATACATGACCTATATCATCCCATACCAATCTATACGTATTGAGTCTAAACTCTACATCCAATGCACCTTGGATTCTCCCTGCTCTATCAGTTAAAGATCTTCAATTTCACCCCGCGGAAACTTAATCTTCACAACTCGCCGAGTGACAAGGTCGGGAGATTGGCGGTACCGAGTGCTTCCAAACTTTCCACTGCCACGCTGGCACTGAATTCGCCTCAGATGTCATCATTGCCAGCTTCTGGATTTGCGAAATACTTGTTACCCATTTGATCCCATAATATCCCATATATATATTACATGTATACATATGTATACATATTTTATTTTTTTCATACATCGGTATGTTGATATTGTTGATGTATAAGCCTTGCTCACAATTTTTGAGGAATGCTGCATGTCACCAAGTGGCTGTCTGGCACAGCAGGTGGACCAGTAGGATACTTCTGGAGCTCGTTGAATGCGTCTCTCTGCTCCTGGCAGAACGTGCGAATACCAAGCAACTCTTGAGGTTCATCAGTGGACTTATCTGAAAACAGGCTACCCCTGTTAAGCCCAATGGACTAAGCAACCTTTTCACTATAAAATAGATGCATGTTTTTTGATATGCTTGGGGTATACTCCATTTTCATACAACCCATATATCCTACCATCAGTCTTTCCAACTTCACATGTTGTTTCATATTTTGTTGACACATGCGGGTTTGGTTTACATACATCCCGTTCGAAGCATGCGGTACTAGTTTCATGAAATAAACAAAAATTGCATCTATATATGCACCTCCTGGCGCTTATCAAGAGAATTGATACAAATTTCCAACTAGTCCGAAATCACCATCGAAAATCCAAAAAAAGTATTGGAAAACCAAAAAGCACGTTTTCAAACATCAAATAAGACATGTTTCCTAAGTTATATATAAGTTCAATACATGTTATTTTTAAACCAAAGCCAAAACAACTTAGAAAATTTATAAAATCATAATAAGTCAACTAACTAAACTATAAAACTTATATCTTATATCTTTGATAACTTCGACATGTCAAAGTTCCATCAGGATAGTGCTATGCACTCGTATTGTTCAAAAACCAGTCTTAGGCCAATCGAATTGGCTCGTTCGATGCTCCCAGGCTCAAGTTTGTGCTAATCCACCCTTGGGGGCCGTGCTGGCAGCAGAGGCATCTTGGTCCAGCTCGTTCAGCAAAACAAACTCTGCAAATCCCGGAAAATCCAGCAACTCGCCCTCGTCATTGACGAAATTGCTCAACTCTTCGATCAACAGCTCGTCCACTTCGTCCGAATTCAAAATGCCGGATGCCAGATTCTGCAACTTGCGTTTTTTTGCAGTGCTGACCATGGCCTTGGTTTTGCTGCCGGACGCTTCCCCATAGGCATTGCCTTCCTTTTGGGAAGGACTTTCGGTCCTGGTACTGGCGTGTCTGCTTCTTCATTTTCCAAAGCTCCTCCTCCACGCGGAATGAAAGCTCCAGCCGAAATTGCCTTCATTGACTTCGTCATTGTGTGAGCGACTTGCTGCACTTCAATGACACGATCAAGAGTGGATCGCTGCGCAGATTGGACCTCACATTGAAGCGTGCATCCACGTATCCCATGACGCGATCCTCCAGGCCTTGGATGAGGTGGGCTACATCTCCAGACCCCATCTGCGAAGGAGGAAGGAGTGAGCGATTCATGAGCTCAGCGTAGACGTGGTGAGCAAGATGGTCTTGACCAGCACATGCATTGCGCATGACATCGATCACTGACTTGACCTGACGGCCAGTCATGCTGTCCCCGAAGAGGCACATCAACACCTCTCCAAATTCATTCATGCTCTGCGGCTGCGGGTAAGAGGCCAACGCGTCAAAGGCCTCATGCTCCTCGAAAATACCCATGAGAGTCGACATCGCTTGTTGGTCCAGTCCTTGCGGTGCCCCTTCTGGCTCATCTCGAGAGGCTTCCGCGGGCGTCAACGATGACTTCTTGATCGCATCGTCGAGCTTGACAATGCTCGTAGAGCCAGTCATTGCCCGGTCAAGACTGAGCTCTGAGATCCAATTATCTTCCCCTGTAAGAAAGGCACGCACGTTATCATGCAAGTTTGCCAAATTCGGTTTCAGGGTATAGGCACCAATGTACTCCCTGGCGACCAATCGATGGTGCTTGTCGTTTCCTCCCTTGAAGGCCAACCCCGTGAAACGGATTTCTGACCGTGCGTCGAGAGGGAGCTTGGTGTCAATCAGAAAGCCACTGAATTCCGTGAGCCCTAGGTATTCGGCCAAATCCTCAGGACGTTTCTGGCGAACCATACCTGTGATGCTGTCATGGGACAACATGAAAGCCAAATTTCGTTGATCTTCGGGAGCTCCCAGGGCCATCCCTAACGCCGCAGTGTACTGAGAGGAGTCTTTGCGATCCAACCACTCAGGCGCAACCTTGCCAACGGTCTCGGCCTTCGTATCGGTCTTGGGCTTCCATTGGGCCATCTTGCATCAATGTGCGTTCACAAGCGTCTTGCTTTGAGATCTGAGTATACTTCGACTATGAAACTTAAAAACAACTTAAAGAACATACAACTACTTAAAACATACTTACTTACACATAAAAATATAAATACTTTGCAAGTTAATTATAACTTTGCCATCCAAAACCCGACTACCAAGTAGATCGGAGGCCACCTGCGGTTGCAACTAGGATCACGTGGTCAGGGTTTTTTCTTCGGATTTCAATCGATTTCCCATTAAAGTACCCCTAGGGTAGAGGACTCATCTGCGCACATGAAAGTGACTCACCTGCAGCATAGCCCCATGAATTTGATGCAAAAAGTTGATAAACTATGATTAAAACTATTGGATAAACTGGGGTAGCCTATTCTCAAACAACCACACGTTTTTTTCGATATGAAAAGAATTGAAAAGATATGTGCCTGACAAGATCCACCATGTCTTACAATCTTAATTGGATGTAGCGTTTCACAATGGCCCCACCTCACAATGAGCAACTTCAAAGTGCAGCTGAACTCGCAAAGGGATCAAGCGATTCGATTGCATCTCCTCTAACAGTTCCAAACATTTCCTGAGGCCATGATCGGCAGGGCACATGTCATTGCACACGGGGATAGAATATGATACAATATGATGTATACATACATACAGTTACATACATTATATGTATATATATATATAACATTGAATAACATACTGAAGTATCACCAATAATCAGCAATCACAGGTGTATGATTTATGGATTCACCAATGAGTTATTCCTTGAAATGGCCATCTTGATGGGAAGAAATCTGGCGCACCAATCCCTCTGGGGCGCACTCCCCAACATTGCCCATGCTCGAGTCCAAAAGTATTCAATGTATTTCAATGTATTGATGTTCATCCATTCTAATCATACAGATTATACATATTTATACGTCTAGTATCATCGAGTGATAAATCCTCTGTAATTAAATGGGACAACCCCCCCCAAGAAACCACCATAAACCTGATGATCCTGATGTTTTCAAGAGATTTGTCAAGTCTCTGCAAGGCCTTGTGAACTCGGAATCGATTCTGATCACACATGAGCTCACGCGAGATGTTCCACATCACAACAGCACATTCTTCCACCAAGTCATCGGCTTCAATCCTGCTGACTCCGGAATTGAAAAATAACTAGCTGCTTCTATTACCCTCTGGTTATGACTAACATAGCTATTGAAAATCACCATTTTTTCATGGGAAAATCCACTATTCATGGTGATTTTCGCTACGTTAGTCATTACCAGAGGGTATCGAATACTATCAGAAATCGATCAGAATCCAGTGATTGAGAAAATTTGAGAAAGCCTCAGGAGGCGGCATCAAAACGCTGGTACCAAAAAGCTGGTTCCCCGCTGTACACACCAAAACATCTTCGAGTCCTGTAGGTACTGCAGTTGCTATAGGTCATTATAGATTAGTACAGGATATTGTAGGTATTCAATGGTATTCATACACCCATCAAGCAATAGATAGCAGTAGTTCCATGGAAAATGGAGACTCCGCAAGTGCTCCCACGTCCACGTCAACGTCCTCTTGGCAATCATGATACACTGCTCCAGCAGTTTGACGGAGCGAAGCCGCGTCTCCACTTCGCGCTCTTCTTGTGCTTCGGCCGAGAGCAACATTTTGGAGGTGGGATCCTCCTTCTTCACCTCAGAACTAGAAATAGCACCAAAACATCAGCACCGCAGTGGGACATAGTGACATAGTGGAACCATGGAGAATCAAGTTGGATAATTACATTTGGATACCAAGATATAAAAAAACAACATGTCCCCATGATTGTGTTTTGCATGTTGTTCTTGTTTTCGGAATCTTGGAATTGAACGATGATGCTGTCTTGACATCCAGATCATCCACCCTCTTCCCCTCATCGGCCCATCACCTCAATACAAGTGAGCAAGTTGCTGTACAAGCGTGCCACACTTCACACTCGGCCTTTGACAGGTCCAAAAGGATGCGTCCACGGCCCTCGGGCATTTGGAACTTTTCCAAGCGACAAATCATGCAGAGCGCCAAGGGCCACTGTTTTGCAACCTCAAACGACAAGCTACGCTGCAGCTACATTAAATGCCCCTTTTTGCCCGAATGTAGCGCCAAGTGCACATCAGGAGGTTCATGGAAGTTCCAATTGTCAATCTTCAGAATGTCATGTGTATTGAAGTCTAGTTTTGAAAGTTTACAACGCACGACCTATGATGCGCTTACAGTTTGCCACGTCATTTCACGAGGGCATGGCAGATTTATTCCTCATCCATGCCCATCTGGAAAACAATACTGGGACTGTGAAGTTGGATACAGCTGGCACGCTGGCACCCGCTTCTCAGCTTTCGGATCCTTGCGGCCATGGTACCACGGTGGCTCTCAATGCCAGAGCTAAGTCGACCAACATCTGAGGCTTGACCTTGCCTGAATCATGGTCATTGCCGAGTCATTGCCATTGCCATGACGTGTTCTGCAGCTAGAGCTTCGGTATCGCCATGTCTTGACACAACATCTCTGGTCCATCATTGATATGAAACCAACATCAATATCATCAATATCATCAAGGTTTTTGACACCAAACATCAATCAAACATCAATCAACCTCATCTATATATCAAATATGCACTATCAAACATCAATCAATATCATCATATATCATCTATATTTTTGACTAACCATGACCTGATGGTCAACTATGGTCAACTCTGCCAAGATGCCACGAACAAATTGGCCGCCGTCCGGTCGGGGTGCCCTGGGATCCGTGCTGAAGGAGTCCCGTGCCGCACGGAGATCGAAGTCAGCATCGATGGTACTCCAGGCCTTGATCAGCTCCTGAACCATGACTGGGGGGGCCATTTATAAATCAACGGGTATATAATACAGTACATACATTCATATATTATACATATATATATAGATTACATATAATTTATTAATATATATATATATATCGTAAACATCCATAAAGCCAATATTGGGATATATTGGGAAGGGTTTCTTGGTTTAGCTGAGCTCATGAGAAACAATGTGCAATGATGGCACATGATGGAACTTGATCATCTGCCAATTTAAGTGTTCAACTCAATGGATCTCAATGGCACAATCACTCCATCCAAGCGGAGACTTTGTCTCCTCTGCTGCGGCCTCTGGCGCGGTTCCACCATTAAATACGAAAAGAGCTGCGCCCAAGACTGTGCTCCCGCTGCCCTTCACAATGTCATCCTTTACTTTGCCTCCACGTGTGCTGGTAAAAACCAAGCCATGTCCAATGCAAAATTTTCGGCACGCTTCCCTTTTAGCAAACTTAGCAGGGTCCAGGTTTAAAGTCTCTGAGGCCAACATATCATAACAGTCATAACATATGGCAGTGTGTCAAAACCTGGTACCCCTAGTGAACATCAAAATAGCTGGTAAATGGATGTTCATCCCACTAAAAATGGTATTAATAGGTATTGATCCATACCCATATCACGCAAGCTACTCCATCTCTAAACAGACCCCATGCTCCACGCTCATCCCCCGCCCAGTACACCTGGCGCTTTTCGATTGAAATACGCCCTGGCATTCCACACCAGCTGTCGAAGTCGGGTATTCCTCTCAGCCATTGCTGGATCCTGTGGTTCTTTCATCATCTCATCCAACAGTTGCCCTGCTTCATCTGCTTTTTTTTGCGCATCAGCATCTCTTCCTGCATCTTCTAAGCCAAATGCCAAGTTCAAAGTAAGCTCCACAAGCCATGGGATATCAATGGTCACTGGGATGGCAGCACCACCTGGTGCCCCTTTCCCTGTGGGTTTCCCCCCGCCCCCGCTGCCAGCGGCGCGCACAGCACGCAGGGCATCCAGGATCTGGGTGGCCTCGTTGATGATGTGACGCTGCCAGCCGCTCCAACACATGGGTCGCGCCACGCTCCAAAAGACCAGGGAGGCGTTGTAAATTAGGAAACCATAACCTTATAACGGAGTCATAAAGGAGTCATAACATGTGAGATCCTGCAAGTCATGAAATGTCACGGAAAGATATGGAAAGTGTGTCGAGTCACTTTACTCTCACAAAATTGAGAATATGAGACATTGTGAGACTAATTATATAAAGTTGAAGAGAACATCTCAACACAAATCACATCCTATACGAAACCGCCAGTGGCTTGACTGCTGGCTGAGGCGCGACTATCATTTTGTGCCCAACCCGTCTCATTGGCCATGGCGAGTGCCTCATTTTCGCTGGGTGTTTGGAACCCAATGGACAGCATTGGCATCTTTTCATCTCTTTTCATCTCTTTTCTGGGGACAATTTTTGATCTTTTGGGTGAGATTATTCTTTGCCAAAGTATCTCTTTCGCCTTTCAACACCGCATGCTGGATCCGCCCAGCTCTAGCCTTCATCAGGTAATGCCGTAGAGCATACTGAAGCTGCCTCAAGGGAGATGGAACCGCCTCTGAATAGCATGGATAGCTGGTTTCGAAAAGATGCAGAAATGAAGGCTCTGAAGATCCTCTGAGCCGTACATCACAGGCATGGCATGAATGAATTCAGAGCAGTTTGAACGTAGCGCCGTAACACTCCTATTTCAGCTGTTGCTTTGGACCATCATGAGCCCAAGCCCAAGTCCTATGCCGATCGTAGTACCAGTAATTTGTTAGTCTTTCCCAAACTGTTTGACCCTCCATGCCATGCTTTCAAAGTGGGCCTCATGCCAAGATGTGCCAAGAAACTGGAGAAGATGATGGCCCTTTAGCCGATGCCGTTCCCCCAAGCGAGCTTGGCACAAACATCGCACCAGCAAGGAACGAACCATGAACCTCAAAGAAACTCATCGTTTTCAAGGATCTATATGGATTTGTGGTGTAATCGATGATTCATGATGATTGATGTTTCCTCATGAACTCTTCCGAAGGTTGAGTAGATTCAAGATAATTTAAGTATAGTCATTTCTTCACAGCAGTCCTAAACGCTGCACATTGAAGCCATGGAGCTGGTCCACTTCACATCCAAGGCGATCGTAGAGCTCCAGAGCTCGTTCAGCTTGGGTATCGTGACCACCCAGGTCCTTGAAAAACCACGATGCGCCGAAAACTGGACAGGGGATGGCGATCAGTTGATACTTCAGATTATGCAAGATACACTGTTAAGTTTAGGAGTTTAGGACTCATTTAATATACTTTTATGATAATTATAATTATATACGTATATAATTATATATATATATTATAATATGCAGGATCATGTGATATTATACGGTACCGATTACCGTATGATATTATTTGATGTCACTTGAGATACTGAAAACCTTCTTGTGCATTCTTATGCATCATTGATGTGATTCAAATTGATTCTATATTATTATTAGATATCGTGAAGCGTTCCGCAACCCAAGTTGGGCAACCTGGACATGACAAGCTCCGGTCAAGCATCCGATGCGGCTTCTGCAAAGATTACAAGAAGCTCTGGGGAAAAGTCTTCTCCTGTGATCTGTGCAGGAAAGACCAATGACCCATTTTTTGGCTCTGGCGTGGCGCTTGCACCAGAATCACAAAGAAACTATCATTACCCGATTAATTACCCAAGTTGCTTAATTCTGCTACTAAACCGTTTAGTTATTTTAATTAACCATCCAATCTCACCAAACAAGTGGCGCAACAATTTGGATGCGTCTGAGAATCTGATATATTTTACATAGTTTATCGTCATTCCTACACTGAAATAGCCAACGGCCATTTCGGCGGCTCTCCTGTGAAACGACTGGCATTACCCTGGATCAGCGCAAAGGCATCGTTCACCAGCTGGCTGGCCCTAGGGATCCGCATCGCTCTCACGCGACTGGATTACTGTGTTCTGAATGATGAGTTACATATACGTATTTTCTCTATGAAGATTCTATGATTTCTATGAATATTCTATGATTTATGGCGATTTGCAATGATACTTTGGCAAGCCAAGACAAACTAGGGTCTAGTAAATACATGTAAATACCTTGATTCCAGCCTGTTGAATCAGCATCAAAACATCTCAGGAACAAGTGTTAGCGCAAGAGTAAACGTTCCTTCTCGGCTCACATGACTGCAAAGGCAGATTGTCATCGTCAAAATTGTGTCCTAAGAATTGGATAGAAGTGGACAGTGTCCAGGTGCTACAAAATGATCCATTTCATCCAAGTTCCGCACATCTAGTCTCAAAATGTCAAATCAATGGCCATTTGGAATATCCCCACAAAATATGGTCAGAAATATGGTACTAGCGCACCTCCATAAATTGGATCCATTTAGGATCTCCCATTGATCAAATGTTGACCCACCGAGAGACCCCCATCTTGACCCCTCGAGATCACTGAGCTCGCCGACTGAGTTGGTTCACCTGCTCTTTGCGCCTCGTAGATCAAGCGTCTGAGGTGAAAATCCGTTGAGGCCATGCCTGCGCTCGTATCCTTTGTGGTGATGGCAGCTACAAGTGCTGAAATAAGTTGAGGATAGTAGTATATGATACTGTAGTTGAATATAGTTGATGGGTAACTAAAGCATACTCAAACCATATCTGGGCAACTTAGTTAGTTTTTAAACTGAAACACATGCTGAAATTCTCAAACAAGTGCTGAAAGTCATGCCACAATTTGTCATTGGGACGTATCATTCAAAGCATCCTTAGAAGGCGCTGTCATGTGCTGCCGTGTACCCGCCTCCTCTTGCAAATACCTGGCGTTGAAAGTTGGAGGCTATGAGGTCAAACTACTTGCTGCTGCAAACATGGAAGAGAACAGATATAATTTCACGTTTTACTGGGCTTGTCTGAGCATGGGGTAAAACTTTAAAACCACCATCGATAGCTTCCTTTTTAAATGGATCCAAATGGCCATCGATAATGACTCGTGATGATCTCAGCGAAAGGCTGAAGCTCCAGCTGTTGGCTGTGAAGTCAGTTGAGCAGCTCAACATTTTTGGGACTTGGGAACCACTCAGCTGGGCTTCTTTTCGGGTTATGGGTCAAAATTGCGAAAATTGGGTACTCCCCAAAAAGAGGATGAACACTACTAACCAATATGTGATTGAACTGCTCGAGATATTAAGATCCCTAACCTGCGATTCTTTCCTGGAACATCCTCGAACCAAAGACCTGAACTCTGAACAGCGTTTGGTACCTCAAATTCGATCTGCGCTTTGCGCAAGATGTAGCATCACAGCTAAACTCTGAATGTCGCTTTGAAGCTTGGCAGTGCTAGAGCTAGGTGAGCAATCTCCAAAACCCTAGGGCTCTAGGTTCACGGAAAGGACATCCACAAATTTGGGAAGGTCCCATCGCTTACCGTGTGTATTTAACAATTTCCATCAATTTCCATAAACCAATGTCCGTCCAATACATAGTATTGCGGGGTTTTTGCATGTTTTTGCGGTGGCTCAGGTAGATCCAAGCGTTTTATCTGTGAGTAAACTTGCCTGTCTGTTTTGGAGATGTCCCTTCATTCATGCCTGTTTTTTGTTCAGCTGCATGTCGAAACATATTGAACCGAAACTCTTCGAGACGATCATTTTTCGAAGCTGAAAAGCCTCTGGCGTCATTGGATGCGTCATTGGATTACAGTCATAGTGGCGTGTCCATGTGAGTCCTACTATGTCCTACTCACAGCGATTGCATTTTGACATATTTTGACCATATCTGTCAGAATCTGCCGCGCTTCACTTTTCTCGACTTCTCTATCTATTGCGGCGTTTGCTGTGCAGATTTATATCCTGTTCCACGGCTGCTCAAGGCCGTAGCACGCTCACGAATCCTTATCCCAAAACTGCAAAAGATTTCAAAAGCCAGCGATTCGATCATGTCGTCGGCCTGTGTACGGCCCAACACTCTGAGAAAAGTCCTCAAAACATCTTGACAAAACTCGCAACACGAGAAAAAACTGTGATGATCAGTGGACAACTGAGTCAGAGTGCTTAAGGTAGCCATAGGTCCGTCCTGGTATGGACGGTATGGTTCTGCTAGGGAACCAACATGCAGTGAATTTTGCTGTTGCCAAGGCAACTTCCAAAGCAAAGACGATTCGTTTTGGAAAAACTCACCCGCCCCTTGGCAAAGCTCTGGTCTTGGTGTCAGACGTGTCAGAGTTTGTTTGTAGACTCTGCCGCGCAATAAAGTGCAAATCCGACTTGTACGGTATTCGCGTGGTAAATGCAAAGAAGTGTTGCGCACTCCGAAAGCTGAGGCTCCTATCCCTCAAGAAAGTGCGGCAATGAATTCCTGCTGTACAAGGCATTGCACTCACTCTTGGAGTTTGGCTGCCATGAATATCATGAATTCATGCAAGGGAACTCCCGCTCCCCTAGTTCCACGATGTTCGACAATGTTCTACAGGTTTTAAAGAACCAGAACTTCGATCACAACGATCTGTGAAATTCTGTGAGGTGAGCACGAGTTATGGTCCATGGAGTCTCCTTGACACATCATTTCATTCCTATCATTCCTATCATTCCTGACTACGCTTCACGCCATCTTCACAAGAAGCTTCAGCTAAGCTTCAGCTCAGCTTTACGCTAGCAATTTGAGCAGCTAGGCTTAGTAAAGCTGGGGGGCGTCCCGATGCTAACATCGACGGCGATCTCTGTGCACTGTGTGCAATCGCTTGACAGAAAGGCACCGGGAGCGAAGCGGTGATGAGCCAGTGTTGTTAACATGTTTAATGCTATGGGCAAAAGGGGAAAACAAACGGTTTTCTCTATCTTATAGCGGTGCGTTGTAGTGTAGTATGATGTAGTATGATGTAGTATGATGTAGTATGGGTGCGTATAACCGTATAGTGGTCTTTGCCATTTTCAGAAACGTTGTCTGCCCTGATTGTTGGACATCACCGAGCAATCAGGAAGCAGATTGCAGTTCCTGGCTACAAGTTACCAGCTCAGCCTCTCAAGGCTTCTGTCCACTGTCTGCATGGGTGGAGCCACCAAACTCTCGAATCAAAATTGTCACATCATCGATCATCATCATATATTCTGACATATTCTGACATATTCTGATGAACATATGATGAACATTGCATTACAATCATTTCCAATCAACATACTCATCCTTTGATATCCTGATAGTATCATAGGTTGCATTGGTCGTATGATCTATGAATGTGATTGAATTTCTGCAAACAAAAAAACTACGCATTCAACTCAATATGTCCTGACAATCCATGACCTTTTTTCTAGATTCTCAAGTAACTCTTCATTAATTTATATTCATTTCGATCTGAAGATATCTGAAGCATTGGAGTTCGATCATCACTATCATCACTCATGGATTCATGGATTGGATCGAGCTGAGTGGCATTGCATGGCCTTCAAGTCCGATCAGCCCAGCTGGCCGAAGCTCGGAGCAGTGGAGCCGGAGCCGGAGCACATCGATTTGGCTGAGCCCTGCCTGGCGCGACCGGATAAACCGTTGCGACGTTGGGTCATCCGATAGGAAAATCGATAGGAAACCAATAGAAACCCATGGGTGTTGATATGTTTTTCTATGTTTATAGCATTCAAAAATCCGATGCTTTCCAGCGGATCTTCCGTTAAATTGGGGAACTTTTTGATGTTTGGCAACAGTTCGGGCTCTGACGTGCATATCATGAAAACCTGACATCACTCCACGAAAAAAACAAGTTCCATTGGACCAAGCTCCCTGGAAAATCGGATGATAGATTCAACAACAACATCAACATCAACAAGAATAGTACCAAGAATGATCAATACCAACAATAGTCAATGAATAGTCTTATAAAATCTTGTAAACTAATACTATTGTGACCAAACAATGCGTACTCCCCGGGACTGAAGTTAATTTTTCACCGCGGGAGAGCCTCGCGGGATGCCTTTCAGAGAGAATCAACCTCAAGCAGCATTGGGGCAAAGAATCAAGATTAATCAATCTGGCAAATTTTCTCGGCCAAACAAATTCCATGTTGTTTTCATTCCACAGGACTGCGAAACACGTTACATGATGGCACTCCAAAGGAAAACTCACTGAATATTCCAAGACCCCAAGAGAGTGCAGTGGTCAACACAAATTCAAAATAAGAATCAGTTGAGTCTTGAGGTAGGTTCATACTGATTCATACTGTATCACATCATCTAGTCATAAGACGGGTCATAGGATGTCATAGGAGGTTTTCCGGGTTTTCCGCTTTTCCTGTGTTTTTTTTTTTCTGCCCTGGAACCGAAACCAAGGCACCGTAGTAGGACTTGTTTCTCACGAGGCTTGGCTCAAAAGATCGATGTGGGTGTCTCCTTGGCGCACTGTGAACTGTGAGATTGTTGGAAGGGAAAACCTAAGATGTCAAAATATGAATGCGAAGAATAGCAGCTATAGCAATAGGATAGCAATAGCTGCGACGACTTTCATAGGTTTGTGCCACCTTCCGAATCCAATGGATCCAAGTTGGGCATATCCAGATATCTCAGATTCACAGTCGTCACCATGTATCACTGGGCTCAAAATTGCACCAACGGCTGGGCAATCCATCCCTAAAACCCACAGGCCCGGACATATCGACAGAGGTCCGGGGCTTCGCCTTGCACGGAAGTTGGCAAACGGATGAAAATCAGAGTTTCAACTTCAATATGGTGTATATTGATGTATATTGATGAATATTGATGTGTATTGATGTATATTGATGTATATTGATGTATATTGATGTGTAATTGATGTGTATTGATGTATCAGTATATTGATGTATATTGATGTATATTGATGAATATTGATGTGTATTGATGTATATTGATGTATATTGATGTATATTGATGTGTAATTGATGTGTATTGATGTATCAGTATATTGATGTATATTGATGTGTATTGATGTGTATTGATGTGTATTGATGTATATTGATGTGTATTGATGTATATTGATGTGTATATATTGATGTGTATATATTCATGTGTATATATTCATGTGTATATTTTGATGTGTATATTTTGATGTGTATATTTTGATGTGTATATTTTGATGTGTATATATTGATGTGTATATATTGATGTGTACATATTGATGTGTATATATTGATGTATATATTGCATATCAATCATTCCTCTTGAAACCAAACTGGTGCAAACCATTTATTCATATTGAACACGATCACCTAAGTAAGCTAAAATGACCAGCGTTTGACCCAGCGGTTTCCAGTGGGGTGCCTTCAAAGAGTGCTGTCCTCTGGCGCGAGCGCGGCTTCCTGCGACCACCATCTTCTTGTAGAGGTCCTCCAAAGGGCTGATACCATGCTTTTTTCTGGGCGTGCTGGAAACTTCAAGGGGAGAAAAACAGTGCAGTGGCGCGTTTTCTGATGGGTTAGGATGGGTTAGGTTGGAAACAATGCTGATATTAGTGTGTGCAGAACTGGGATGTAGCTGGCATTATCTAAATTCATGGGCGTTGATTCAACTGTCTGTTACTAGTACCAGGTAAGCGCCAGTGATGAATCAATGGTCAGGTCTCATCTCGGCGAAGTCAGCTGAAAGCACTAAGTCTGCCGCAGCTGGAACGGCCGTCATCTTGTCGATGTGAATCTGCCACGTGGGGGTTGTGTGATGACAGTGGTCTCTGTAGGATATGTCAGCTGTTCTTGATCCTCACAGTAGAATTTGCTAGTGAGACCCAACCAAAACATTACCACACAGCCTGGTATATGATCAAATCATACTTAAACATATGCCATACGTAGTTACGTAATTAGTACTGCATTGAGCAATCAACGACTTCAGTGACCCATCAGTGACCCATCAGTGACCTAAACTCTGGGATCTTTTCACCCCACGCGGGGTCCATCGGGGTCCCCTGGTTCGGTCACCTCCTGGACCTGACTCGTCTTGGTGCATCTAGGGTTAGGCGGCGGATCTTTCACCTTGAGATCAACGCCAATGACCTGCTAAGCACTGCTATCTGCCACCATCTGCTATTAGTTGGCATCAAAAAAAATGGTGAAGATCAAGTGACCTGCAACTTCAGTTGACAAATTCATGGCAAATCTTCAGGTTTTTGGACTCCTCTTGAAACTGCGAACTAGCTAAATGTGCAACTCCTCAGGGCACAAACTCAGTTGCCCACACATTTCTGCGGAGTGTACGCTGTGGCCTCGCTATGCAACCCTGGAAAGGCCTCACCTTATATCGAATAAACATGAATAAACATGGGGTTCTCAGCATGGGAAGAAAACACCATGCGTATCATGACTCAAACATGATATTATGGAATAACCTACACCCTTCTGGTGTGCTGAGGTCTGTCTATCAGAAGACCCTCGATGTCGCCTCGTGCAAAGGGCGCTTGCAGTTGCATAACTTCGCCTTAGGATTTGCATCAGGCTGTGGCATGATTTTCACTGGGTGAATCCGGGTGACCTATGGTTACCTCCTTCCTGTGGCACAGAAATACGCAGAGTACCCAGTGCAAATATATGACATGAGGTTGCCCAAAAATTGAAGCCAACAAATCCCTACAAATCATATACCAATCCCATGGTCAAGCTCCAGGCAAACCATGCGCTGACGAACCTCAGAAACAAAGCAAGGTCACTAGAGCGGGTCATACCAGTTTGTTGGGATTGTTGGGAGTGGTTATCACCCAATATAGGAATAGCAACTATCACAACTGCACAACTCCAAGTTCCTTTTGCATCAAGGGGACGATGAGAAAGCCATTCGCTGCTATCTCGATGGCCTCCTACCAACAACTCTCCGCCCAAATGCACGAAATAATAAACTATACAAGCACTTTGGAGCCAAAATGTTAACGCCAATGCCCATTGTTGTCAATGAACATGTAAAAACTTGCGCATTTATCCGCCGACCTGCCCCCCACCCTGCTAAAGAAAAATCTACAAAACTGCCTCAAGTTTGCTGGCATCTAAACATGGACAGCGACCTTTTTTGACTCCAGCTGAGATTAATGAAAAAACATAAAAAAACAATACAATTCAAATCATGCAAACATGTTTCCGTGAACATCTATGTTCCCCCATGGCAACAAAACGACCCATAAGAACCTGCAATTCCACCCCATCCATGACGCTTCCCTCTTCACATTCTTCACCACCCATGGCACGTCAATTTTTTCGCTGGGACGTGGGTTCCCAAATCAGAGACAATTAGACCTGTTTCTTCTCGTGGACAACCGGTCGGAGTCCCGCGAAGAGCATGAGATTACTTTTCTGGCCGAGCCAAGAGTCGCAACTTTTACATACCGTTTACCCAGTATAATGGAGTTGCAACTAGGTTGTCCAGAAAATGGCCGTCCAATGATTCATTGATGCAGCCGATGACGTATTCTCATATGCAATGATTTATGATTATGATGACATCTTATGACCATTGTCGTAGTCGTTACATGTCGTTACTACGACCAATTTATGACATAATAATGATTGCAATTTCAAACGAAGGAACAATGGCTCAGCCTGCATTTGCACGGCTTGAAATCGATCCGCTGCATGATTTGTTCGCGTGTGCCAGTGTCACTGTGGCTGTGAGCAGGATGTCTTGGTGCTTCATGATGCTTCGGAATTCCGAAGTGTCACAGTTTTATATGTTTTATGCAAGCCTCACTACAATCTGGGCACTGGTTTTGCGGAATCCTGTCTCAGCATTGGACCATGTCTCAGGACTCATGCACCGTCCCACCCAATCACAGTGCCGGACAGCCTAGAAGTCACGCCGGCTTTGGACGTTTCTTCCACTCGTCGTGCTATGTCGTGCTATGTACACCGCCTGAGGTCCGAACATCATGCGTTCCATCCCACTAACCAGCCCTCAAATAAGTGGCTCCAAATAGTGTATAGTATAGTAATGTATAGTATAATATAGTATATGGTTGTAAGTTACAAGTTAAAATGTATCATTCATAGTAAGTCCAAGTATGAACGGTACTATTATATCTATATAATATATTATAATATTATCATATATCATCCCACTTCCTTCAACTGCAGAGTGTTTCAGAATCCGAGTTCGACATTTACTCTGCATCGATGTTGCCAGTGCCTGGAAGCACTTGAGGTCACTCGAGAGCCTTCTCCCTGCAGACAGATTCGAGGTCACCAAGCGAAGTCATCATAAGTCATCCACAAAACTGCCTAATGAAATTTGCAATACCCGATCTCTACACTATCTATACATATACTTTACCATGTCGACATTATTTTTCATAATAATGTTCAAATTTTTTTATATATTATATAATCACCACAGTTCTAAGGAGGGGGGACGTACCCAAAATGTAAGCTACATTTTTCAAGGTGTTTTGAGGGGGGCCCTTGAAAATGTAAGCTTACATTTTGAAGGTATTTTGAGGATCCTCCCCACAAAAACGGCACCTGGGGGACGTTCAGCAACCAATTTTACATTTAATCAAGGGGGGTAACCAAAAATGTAGCTTAATTTTGGTATGGTCCCCCCCTAAAAAGTGTCCTTAAAGGGCTGGTGATTACACAGTTTCTTCTGTCACTTCCCAAGTGGTCGTGGAATGTGGAGATCCCAGATCAAGCCTGCAACAACAAGGCATGGACGTAAAGAAGGCCTGGAAAACGGACAGCTGCGGCAAGTCATCGGAATGGTATCCGAATAGCAATGTGGTGTGCGAAAAAAACACCAGTCGACATGTCGTTGACATATATTGACATGAACATGGGGTGAGGAAACGATGGGAAACCATCCATACCAAGGCCGCTACTCCAATGCCTTCCAGCATCTCCTGGCGAACACACACACACACAGAACCACAGCGTAAGGAATAGATAGAAAATGAATGAAAACGATGGAAACAGCTCCAGAAACCTTCAAAAAGTCTGCTGGACCATCCCCGAAAGCAGTTGTGGAAAACCGAGCACTGACCCACTTCCGTCCTGCAGCATCCGCAAGAAACCCTGACAGCACAAGATCATCATTGTTCGGGTGGGGGTGATTGGATGATTCCGTGATCACTGAAGCACTTCTGAATCTTATGATCATGTCAGTATCATCTTGGTCGTGTCATTGAATTGATGAAACTGAACTCGTTTAAAAATGTATTGAAATGTGATGAACGGTTGAAAGCCCATGAAATGTATGAAATGGTATGACTACTGTGATCCAGCACTCGCAACACTTCATGACGCACGTGGCCCGGTCATGGGGGGGTCCCAAAATCTTTTGGAACCCCAGTGGAACCCTGTGAACTGCAATGGCCTGCATGTAATTATTCAGATGAAGAATCATGAAGGATCCAAATGAATCAAGAGATGGACTTCAATCCATGAATCCACACGAGATCCCATTCCCACCAGGACCCCCTGGCCATTGGCCATTCCCGGTCCCGGCGCCTTGGGTTTCGGCCTCCAAGTGTCGAAGGCCTTTCGAAGGAGAGAGATCTCCTCAAGACCATCCAGCCCTGTGGTACAGAACCTCCAGGTCCTGATGGCGGCCTGCCAGGTCTCCTTATCGTGGCGTACCTCGATTTCATCTATTTCAACCCATGGGCACTTTGTGCTGGGTTTTTTGTTGAGGATGGGGTCGTATTTCATGATTTCACCGAAGCGAACCTTCTTGTTGCCCACAAGCTTTCGCTTGATGGAGTCCAAGATCTTCTTTCGCATGCCCGGCAACATGATACCGAGACCCGACAAAAACGTGTCGGTCACAGTGTGGAGGCCGCCCTGTTTCACCACCTCCTCAAGGCCTGACTGGAACCGAGCGCCGAGTTTCTCCCTCTTAGCCCACTCTGCGAGCTCCTCCACGTCGCAGCAGTCCTGCAGTTCAAGGATGTTCAAGGATGTTCAAGGATGTTCAAGGCAAACTGCAAGACGAGATGTGAACCTTTCCTGAATTTAATTTATGTATTGTGGTAGTGTTTTGTGGTGTTTAGATATACATCTCCCTCGGCCTGCACATAGTCTCGATGTTTTCAAAAGTGTTCTTTTCACATGAAATTATTTTATATTATTTTATTATAGGTTTATTATTTTGATGTGTTTTATACTTCTATTTCTGGAATTATCATTGTTTCTCATCGTTTTACTTATCTCATCTTGGATCTTTGCACGTAAGCGACAAACAGCAGAGGGAAAGAAAACCTGGGGGCCACACAATGATCACAATGGGAAACAGCAAAAGAAGACCTCCAAACACACCACAGATCCCGAGGCTACCAGGTAAGGTTAAACATGGTACTAGACTGTGCCCACAGAGAAATGTCCACCGAAAGAATGGGAAAAGTTGGAAAAGATGTCATGTATATACCAATATATACCAGGTGTACATATTATAGTTTTACCAATACGTATATTATCAATAACAGTTACAATGCTCCCCCCAAAAGCCAATCTCTCATACGGCAGCTCGTCCTCTAAACCCTCAGGCCAAGCATCCTATGGGTTCAACAGGATGAATTCGTGTCAAGTCCAAATGGTTTCACATGTTCAATCTTGAATACATGTGTCTCCTTTGTCGTGCTTTTGTTTATGAATTTGGTACACGCAAGCCGCCAATAACACCCCTTGAGCATCTTGTGTCTGAGTGAAAGCAAAAGAAATGCGGGAGAATGCAAGACATCAATCCAATCCCCAGGTCTGTTTGGTCATACTGAACAGAAAGATTGCTATGATTGCTGAACATCAGCAGTGGAAAATGGCAAAAAATGCAACGACCCGTCTGATGACACAGTCACGGTGCACCCCTCCAACATGTGGCTCTCTCAAACCATGCGGCTAGTCCTCTGTCTGCTGAGTAGACGAAGACGGTAAAACCTCCTTTGGGTTCAACAGGATGAAGTCGTGTCAAGTCCAAATGATTTCACATGTTCAATCTTGTTGAATACATGTGTCTCCTTTGTCGTACTTTTGTCTATGAATTTGGTACACGCAAGCTGCCAATAACAACCCTTGAGTATCTTGTGTCTGAGTGAAAGAAAAAGAAATGCGGGAGAATGCAAGACATCAATCCAATCCCCAGGTCTGTTTGGTCATACTGAACAGAAAGATTGCTATGATTGCTGAACATCAGCAGTGGAAAATGGAAAAAATGCAACGACCCGTCTGATGACACAGTCACGGTGCACCCCTCCAACATGTGGCTCTCTCAAACCATGCGGCTAGTCCTCTGTCTGCTGAGTAGACGAAGACGGTAAAACCTCCTTTGGGTTCAACAGGATGAAGTCGTGTCAAGTCCAAATGATTTCACATGTTCAATCTTGTTGAATACATGTGTCTCCTTTGTCGTACTTTTGTCTATGAATTTGGTACACGCAAGCTGCCAATAACAACCCTTGAGTATCTTGTGTCTGAGTGAAAGAAAAGAAATGCGGGAGAATGCAAGACATCAATCCAATCCCCAGGTCTGTTTGGTCATACTGAACAGAAAGATTGCTATGATTGCTGAACATCAGCAGTGGAAAATGGAAAAAAATGCAACGACCCGTCTGATGACACAGTCACGGTGCACCCCTCCAACATGTGGCTCTCTCAAACCATGCGGCTAGTCCTCTGTCTGCTGAGTAGACGAAGACGGTAAAACCTCCTTTGGGTTCAACAGGATGAAGTCGTGTCAAGTCCAAATGATTTCACATGTTCAATCTTGTTGAATACATGTGTCTCCTTTGTCGTACTTTTGTCTATGAATTTGGTACACGCAAGCTGCCAATAACAACCCTTGAGTATCTTGTGTCTGAGTGAAAGAAAAGAAATGCGGGAGAATGCAAGACATCAATCCAATCCCCAGGTCTGTTTGGTCATACTGAACAGAAAGATTGCTATGATTGCTGAACATCAGCAGTGGAAAATGGAAAAAAATGCAACGACCCGTCTGATGACACAGTCATGACACAGTCACGGTGCACCCCTCCAACATGTGGCTCTCTCAAACCATGCGGCTAGTCCTCTGTCTGCTGAGTAGACGAAGACGGTAAAACCTCCTTTGGGTTCAACAGGATGAAGTCGTGTCAAGTCCAAATGATTTCACATGTTCAATCTTGTTGAATACATGTGTCTCCTTTGTCGTACTTTTGTCTATGAATTTGGTACACGCAAGCTGCCAATAACACCCCTTGTGTCTGAGTGGAAGCACAAGAAATGCAGGAGAATGCAAGACATCAATCCAATCCCCAGGTCTGTTTGGTCATACTGAACAGAAAGATTGCTATGATTGCTGAACATCAGCAGTGGAAAATGGAAAAAAATGCAACGACCCGTCTGATGACACAGTCACGGTGCACCCCTCCAACATGTGGCTCTCTCAAACCATGCGGCTAGTCCTCTGTCTGCTGAGTAGACGAAGACGGTAAAACCTCCTTTGGGTTCAACAGGATGAAGTCGTGTCAAGTCCAAATGATTTCACATGTTCAATCTTGTTGAATACATGTGTCTCCTTTGTCGTACTTTTGTCTATGAATTTGGTACACGCAAGCTGCCAATAACACCCCTTGTGTCTGAGTGGAAGCACAAGAAATGCAGGAGAATGCAAGACATCAATCCAATCCCCAGGTCTGTTTGGTCATACTGAACAGAAAGATTGCTATGATTGCTGAACATCAGCAGTGGAAAATGGAAAAAAATGCAACGACCCGTCTGATGACACAGTCACGGTGCACCCCTCCAACATGTGGCTCTCTCAAACCATGCGGCTAGTCCTCTGTCTGCTGAGTAGACGAAGACGGTAAAACCTCCTTTGGGTTCAACAGGATGAAGTCGTGTCAAGTCCAAATGATTTCACATGTTCAAAACATGTGTCTCCTTTGTCGTACTTTTGTCTATGAATTTGGTACACGCAAGCTGCCAATAACACCCCTTGTGTCTGAGTGGAAGCACAAGAAATGCAGGAGAATGCAAGACATCAATCCAATCCCCAGGTCTGTTTGGTCATACTAAACAGAAAGATTGCTATGATTGCTGAACATCAGCAGTGGAAAATGGAAAAAAATGCAACGACCCGTCTGATGACACAGTCACGGTGCACCCCTCCAACATGTGGCTCTCTCAAACCATGCGGCTAGTCTTCTGTCTGCTGAGTAGACGAAGACGGTACAACCTCCTTTGGGTTCAACAGGATGAAGTCGTGTCAAGTCCAAATGATTTCACATGTTCAATCTTGTTGAATACATGTGTCTCCTTTGTCGTACTTTTGTCTATGAATTTGGTACACGCAAGCTGCCAATAACAACCCTTGAGTATCTTGTGTCTGAGTGAAAGAAAAGAAATGCGGGAGAATGCAAGACATCAATCCAATCCCCAGGTCTGTTTGGTCATACTGAACAGAAAGATTGCTATGATTGCTGAACATCAGCAGTGGAAAATGGAAAAAAATGCAACGACCCGTCTGATGACACAGTCACGGTGCACCCCTCCAACATGTGGCTCTCTCAAACCATGCGGCTAGTCCTCTGTCTGCTGAGTAGACGAAGACGGTAAAACCTCCTTTGGGTTCAACAGGATGAAGTCGTGTCAAGTCCAAATGATTTCACATGTTCAAAACATGTGTCTCCTTTGTCGTACTTTTGTCTATGAATTTGGTACACGCAAGCTGCCAATAACACCCCTTGTGTCTGAGTGGAAGCACAAGAAATGCAGGAGAATGCAAGACATCAATCCAATCCCCAGGTCTGTTTGGTCATACTAAACAGAAAGATTGCTATGATTGCTGAACATCAGCAGTGGAAAATGGAAAAAAATGCAACGACCCGTCTGATGACACAGTCACGGTGCACCCCTCCAACATGTGGCTCTCTCAAGCCATGCGGCTAGTCCTCTGTCTGCTGAGTAGACGAAGACGGTAAAACCTCCTTTGGGTTCAACAGGATGAAGTCGTGTCAAGTCCAAATGATTTCACATGTTCAAAACACGTGTCTCCTTTGTCGTACTTTTGTCTATGAATTTGGTACACGCAAGCTGCCAATAACACCCCTTGTGTCTGAGTGGAAGCACAAGAAATGCAGGAGAATGCAAGACATCAATCCAATCCCCAGGTCTGCTTGGTCATACTGATTAGAAAGATTGCTCAAAATCACCAGTGGAAAGTGTAACGGATGCGATGACAGTCACAGTGCACCCCTCCAACATGTGGCTCTCTCAAACCATGCGGCTAGTCCTCTGTCTGCTCAGTAGACTCAGTAGAGGACGAAGGTAAAACGTCCTATGGGTTCAAGAGGGAGTATGGCGGTAACCGGCCGACCGGACCGGGCAACCGGCTGACCGGATCCCGGTTGACCCCTCCCCTCCCCGGTTGCCCGGTTGCCCGGTTGACCGGCTGACCGGGGCGGTTGCCCGGTTGACCGGCGGAATGCCCGGTTGACCGGCTGACCGGCCGATCGGCCGACTAGGGGAAGAAATGCCCGGTTGCCCGGTTGACCGGCTGACCGGGGCGGTTGCCCGGTTGACCGGCGGAATGCCCGGTTGACCGGCTGACCGGCCGACCGGCCGACCAAGGGACACAAAAAATCGAAGACAAGAACACGAGACAAACAAAAGCAACAGCAACACCAGACACAGAATAGAACCAAAGGCAAGATCAAAGCACTACAAGTAGCAGCTAACCTGCCAAAAACTGAAAACGTAAGTATTGAAAGTGGCAAGGACACAAAAGCAGTTGAAGAGAAGAGGAGAGCAAAAAAGACCACGGAAGAAAAAAGAGCCTGAAGAAAAACACTGGAAAATAGAAAGCAAAACAGCAAAGAAAAAATTGACAGAAGAAAACTTTTTGGGAAAGTCCCGCTAAAAAATGTAGACCGGAACCATTAAAATGCGAAAAGGAACCATGGGAAATGCAAAGTCTAAGTAGGAAATTTGTTCCATGCAAGCACTAAACATAGACCTCAACCAACAAGTGTAAACTTGCATCACCCAAATTGTAACGTCGTAGCGGTAAAGTTAGAACGGTCACGAGTAAAAATGTAAAGGGCAACCATGAAAATGGCAAAATGTAAGCATGAGAATCTTTGAAAATATATCGTGCCAAAAACATTCGAACCGTGAAAACATGGACCAGGCGAGAATCGATACTCCACCTGACACATACCTGCGTCATTATCTTCTGTGAACCTGACAAGTAACATCTCTTCTAACTCTTCGCGGTTTCGAAGCGTTGCGGAGGCAAATAAAAAAAAAATATATATATATATGATTAGTGTAGACGATGCACAGGAGGACAAGAAATAGATGAAGTCCATGAAGCTGATCCTCGTTTCACGTGTAAAGACGACCCCCGCTTCGCGTGTACAGACGAACCCGTTTTCGCGTGTACAGACGACCCCCCGACCTTAAGCTGCAAGGCAAGCGGCTCCGTAGCAGCAGCCCGTTGCAGCCGGATGACGACTCGTTGCACGGCACATGGAGAGAGGTGCTGATGGGCAGCGCTGGTTGTGTGAGGCTGCGATTGGCAAAATGCCATGTGTGTGTGTGTGTTTTAGCTAAGGTAGAAGCATGTGCTTTGGACTGGACTATGTTCAAATAGGGCATGGGAAGTGCATGTCTGCATTGTGGTGAACTCAATAGATATCTAAGGGAACTGGAGTCTATGGAAACTGGGCGCTGCAAACCGAAAGCTGCAAACCAAGGCAGTGTAACAAGATTAAATACGATTTGATACGCTACAACCTAAGGCAAGTTCAGAGACCAAATGTCGTTAGTGTGCATATGCCGTGGAGGTTCGGTACAAGACACAAACTGCATGTTAGTTTCGTGGATGATGGAAAACATG